AAGGTCATTACCAACTGAATAAACAATTGAAGTTCTTTTGTAATCCTTTTCGTTCTCTGCGATTTTGGCAGTCTTCTCGAAGAGTGCTTGTCGGGCGTATCGATGCAAGTGATAAGGCTATAAGGAGCACTGGACCCATACCACAGTTACGTGTATAAAATGTGTCCCGATTTTGTTTCGATTTAAAGAAAATAGTGATAACACGATGTTTTTACCCCTTCTCCATGCGTAACGTTATGCACGTTTCCTCCGTGTTCATGCTAACATAACACTACATTTTTTACGTGATTTGATATCAAATTCGGTAAATAACGTAGGCATCGATCAATATGCTATAGGTATAATATTTTCCTTGACGTATTCATCTAATCTACAAAATCCATTTCAATCAACATGATTAACTAAAAATCCCTTTGAGCTACAATGCGTGCATCATGTTGCAATTAAGCGAATTTGCAATACGATCAAATCTCAATACCAATTCCAAACGTACATAATTGAAGGGCCCTGTGATCCAAATCTACCCAACCGAACTAGTTATCCATCAAAATCAGGTATAATTTTCATAAGGAAATTCTTATAGGAACATTTTATCGAAAGAGTTTTACTTCTCTTCCACATTTGGGGATTTTACTCGAGTTGCTGTCTAAGAGAAACTTGAAATGTACCCGTTTGATAACAATTGATCCCCCAAGTATCTTATTCAATCTTTTGTCGTTTGTTTAACTTTTTCGGCGATCAATTTCAAGACAGTCAAATAAAACTTTTACTTTTTACTTCTGAACCTACGGGAATTCGAAGTCGAATGAATGAAAGTTTGCCAGTGCCGGAGGAAGGTGTAAATAATTTCAAGTATTATTACATATTTTAAACTTTATTGCATTTTAAAGGGCAACCTTTGAGGTATTATGCTATAAACCTAACTCGACTGGAAATTTCATAAAAAGCTTCAAAGCGTAATTTAGACGATGTTGAAGATTTTATAGACGTCGTAAAACAGTTTCAAGTACAATATAACGTTACTCTAGTTTTAAACTAGGATTACATTTTGTTTACCGTTTAATTTTAAGTGTCGTCTTGGCTTACAAGTCGCAAGTTTTACTAGTTACCTTCAGGTGTATCGCGTAAAAGGGAGATAAAGATATGCTGCTATTAAAGTAACTGCAACGTTTTTATACCTTGCTAGAGCGGAGAGAACAGGCGAAAACTTAACATAAGAATAAAAACAAAAGGAACCAAAGTTCAAACGAAAAAATGTTAGTCTCAACAAAACTCTACAAACGTGGTCATTGTCGGTAAAGTAGGATTACCCTTAGTTTGCGCACACGTCATCAAATCTGTTTTTGGGGAATATGGTAATACTCTCGTATTAACAAAATTAAACAAATCATTTAAACGATAATAAACGTTGGAATTACGGGTATATGTATTTCACAAAATATAAGTTCTTGAGGTAGAGTTGTGCCTTATTTAAAAAAGAAAACCAAAAACCATCTTCCATGCCAATCGAAACTGTGGTAGCTTACGTCTACATTGCGACACGTCAAATTCGACAATTGTTTGCTTCCGTTTTCATTATTTTCTCGCGTTTTGGTACATTAGCTAATAAAAATGATAGTTTCATAACGAACAATTATAGAACCATAAATTCCGCAAGTCTCACTGCGTTTTCTGCGCCAAAACTTGTATAACCCAAAAATGCCATCGGTTTACCAAGAAAAAGTGAGCAACTTATTTCTAATCTTATTTGTTATTTTGAACGAGAAAGAGATCATGGTGATCCACTTTTACCAATCGTAAGAGAGGTGCTTAGTAATATAAAAATTCATGTACGTAACAAGTTTCATTTCACAGAGATTTGCGGATGCAGTCAATTTCTAAATGGGGCAAACCTCTAAAAAGTCCATAAAAACAAGGAAAGGCAATCCGTTAGTGATGTTGATGGTTTCACACTCGCAGCGATTCGGAACTCCATCTACGACATGATCCAACACAGTAAGTTAAAACACACATTGAATAGTTGAATGTATACAGGGTGATTCCTATAGTACCTGCCACCGTTTGGGAGCGTGTAGGTGGTGCGTAGGGGAGTATTTTGATATAGGACACTTGGGGTCGGAAATCTAAAATAAGGGTGCCAGAGCCAAATTTACCTTCTGGATTTTCGCGCCTGTAGGTAGGCAACCCAACCGGCCGGCGGTGCACACGGAGCGATCTCAGGCGGCGATGTGTGGCTGACACTTGATCAGAATTTTGTTTAAACCCACGAAATCCCGTCTGAAACGACGCGTATCAAGTGAATAAACACTATGGAAATAGTATAATAATAGTTGGCTAGATGTAGGAAGTGCATTGAGAACAACGGTGGCCACGTTGAACACTTGTAAACGTTATTGCTTTTGACTGTCGTTTTCCCTCCTTCCCTCCCATGTCGCTTCCTCGCGCTAACTCGCTCTGCATCGCTCCGCGCGAAACGTCGGTCGGTTGGGTTGCCTACATACAGGCGTGAAATTCCAGAAGATAAATTTGGTTCTGGCGGCCTTATTTTAGATTTCCGACCCCAAGTGTCCTATATCAAAATACTCCCCTAGGCACCCCCTATACGCTCCCAAACGGTGGCAGGTACTATAGGAATCACCCTGTATATCCAAATCTTGTGATCAACTAGACCAAATATATATTATTATTATTATAACTTTCAAAATACGTATTATTTCCAAATGTTGATTACATTTGGATGAGATACCAGGGAGGGAGGAATGAACTTAATTCTTTCCTTATTTTATACCATTTTTTACCAGAGCTAGCTGGAAGCAAACGTACCAAAAGTTATAAGGCTACGACAAGGGAACCAGACGAAGAAATCACCAGAAGAATTTGCACCACGATCCTGAGAAAGAATTCAACCCATTACAAAATACTGTGTAATATATTTGCAAATACATTATAAATAAAACAAGTCTAAATTGAATGTATTTTTAACGACGTTGTCGCGCCATTTTTCAGTTTTAAACTTACAGTTTTTATTTTACACCTTTTTTTCCTTTTGTGCTCGTTTTAGCAATAACAAATAAATCAGTAATTTTTGATATTGTTTCACCCCTCTTAACCGGCTTACTTCTTTTAACTTCGGCATTCGGGACCACCTCTACATTATTTACTGTAGACGTCGATTCTGAACCTTCTTCATGGGGCCGGTATTCGGATCCGCTATCGTTAAAAGGATCTGATTCCGAGTCGGCATTTGATCTGTACACACAGTTTTGGAAATTGAAATTGAATTGTGCTAATCAATTTCCAAAATTTAAAATGATTGCCATTTCGTACAAAAGTTGTAGATATTAAACTGTTGATTTCAAAAAACCTTGATTTTTTGAAATCCGACTACACATAATGGCGATGTAGAGATTTTTTCTAAAATAACCACAAAAAGGTCCATAATTCGGAAACAAAAGCAAAAATGAAAAAAATGTACTAAAAAAATTGGACGAGTTTTATAACCTCTATTGCGTTGTCCACTTTGAGTAGAAACATCCTGTATACTTTTAATTTTAAAAAGTTCGAACAAAAAATATCGAAGTGAATGCCAATTTAATGAAAATATTAAAAAGAACATGCAATGAATGCATATTATTTGTGAAAATAAGAATATATCGTTACAAAATTTTACTTTACATGATAAAAAAGCATCTTTAAATAATATATAACTGTGAAACAGCTTTCATTTTCTACACAATTGTTTTTTCTATGGAAAAAAGGTAGTGTGGGGGAAATGTTTATGAAGGGAAGGGAAGTTTTCAAACTTAAAAAAGCCCTGAAGAAAATTTGGTAGGAACTTTCAAAGGGCAAAGTGCTCCATCTTGTGGAATCTTCTGGACGTCTGCTTTTCCAGGCCATATAAAATTCCTTTTGGATCTAGTCATGAATGTTATTTGTAGATTATTACTGTCGGCGGATAACACCTGTCCTGGATACCACTGATCATAAAAAACGACGGCCACCCAATCGTCTTTCTTATATTTCCCACTGATTTGGTTTAGTTCGGTATTTTCTTCCTGTGACGTATTACCCTTAAATATAGAAATATCGGCGCCTATCTCTATTTCATCTAGGTCACTACCATTACATGTTATTTGTTAAAAAAATTTTCATAGACTAAAATTACCTACTTTTATCAAACAATTGAAACTAAAAAAATGTTTTAAAAGGATACATTTTTTTGGACATTTCACATTTGAGTTGATTCTGACTCGGTGTAATAGTATTATGCGGACAGGAAATGGAATTTCTACACTCAAAACTCGACAGTTATCGGAAATTCAACTTCATGGTGTTAGGCAGTGGCTGTATTTTCTTATCTTGTAGTAATTCCACCACTTTTATTTCCGCTCCAGAAATTTGAAAGATGCTTGTTCTTTCAAGTTTTTCTTTCACTATTTCTAGAAACTGCTGAATACACGATAGTACATCAGTTCCCGACAGTTTTTCCGTGACCACACTCAAAAAATTCCAAATACCTCAAATGATGTTGAAGGACAGATGATAATTGATAATTGCTGGTAGATCCAGGAGATTGAGTGGCAAATTTCTATGTAGGCGATGATTTAGAGACATCTTTCGTCCGTTGGGCATCCTCGCATCCATATACCTAAGTATTAAGAAAAGAACATCACGGCATTAAACAATTGTAGCCTTGTTTTATTGCATCGACACCGTGGAGAACAATCAAATTGACAAGAAGTTAGCAGAGAATATACGTCGGATTTGAGCTGAAAGAACCCAAACATATCGAATTAGTGTATTGAAAATCTTAAAAAAAGCTCATAAAAATTGGGAAACCTTTTAAATAGAAAATAGGCACAATGTAATGCACACAATACAGTATTCACATTATTTCGCAAAATTTCCTTTATCAGTTTTATATTTCACCTTCGATTGTCACTAGGAAAGTTCACCGTACTATTTGCATTAATCACGCTACTACACCTTTAGTATCTTATCTTCGGAATGATAATGGAACACCTGGATGTACACTATAAACTATAATGAAAGCTAGTTTTCAGGCTGGAAATTATGCCTTTCGCTCTCACAGTGTGTATCTCTCAATTTATATTTAATGCATGTAAGTAAACATAGTTTGATTCATTTACTTTGTCCAAAAACCTCTTCTTTCAGTTGTGTTGCTAGATTTAAATTCGCCTTTCGCGAACGCGCAACTTCGAGTAGTTGGAGGAAATACTGTGACAAATAGAAGCCAATTCGCTTTTCAGGTGAAACTATTTTAACTTCAACTCTTTCGAAAATAAACAAATACAGTTGGTCGGTAGCACAATGCGGAAAGAAATGTTTATTTGACTATTGAGTAATCGAAGTGGTATACTTGAAACGAATAAAATCATCCACTTATCAGTTATATGCATAGCTTTACAAACGATAATTTTTGAAGAATACGGCTTGGGTTAACGGCTTAACGCTATATCATTTCCAATAACAAATGCGGTTTGAAGATCGTTTGCGCAGGTGCATGTCTAGTGTATCAATTCTCTTGACAATGTAAATAAACACAACTACTCTGAACTACTTTTTGAATTCAAACTGCATTTTTGACCAGACAAAATTGGTCAGAATTTATGAAATTTTCTCTTTCTGTATTTAAGAAGAACACGCTTTTCTGCGCATGGCATTTCCAAAAGTAGGTGTGTTCGTTATTCTCATATTCAATGATTGCTATAAAAAATAGGACCATATTCGAGATCGAATTTTTTCGTACCACCATTTAGGAGTGCGCCATCTCTTCTCCTTTGTAGTTAGAAGATTCTGCTAGATATACTATAGAATGTCCCCAAACGAGAATTCGATATGTAATGTGGGGTTGTATTAGTGTTAAGTAGGTAACTCTGAGAATGTCTCTAGTTAATTTGTTCGACAATTGCCGTATCAAAAATGTGCTAGAATTGATTTTTTGATGCCCGATATCTGCAAGTTTTTAATTCTCGATCGTTGTTCGAGATCTCCTACTCGGGCGTGTATTTCTAGTCCAGTCATTTTAGAGGTTTTAAACCCTCATTACTGTCGCGTGTTGATGATGTTTTGCAAGCTTATGACACTCTTCTTTTAAATGTCCTAAATTTTTGCAATACATGCATTTTCAGGATTTGAAAACGATAACGGTTTATCGACAAGAGGATCGAAAGTCCTTTCCGCGAGTTGCGTTTTTTCTAAAAGTTCCGTAGTACTATTCATCTAATCGCGTGAACTTTTTTGAGAATTTTGCGATGTAAAAGATCGTACACTATGTCATTTGGTAACGGCGGAATAATAGAACGAGCTTTACAAATGAATACATCTGTTTTTAAGTCCTGTTCATGTAACAAACTCACGATGTACGCGAGAAGCTGATCTTGTGGAACTAAAAGTGGTTCGCAGCAAATCGACCGCACTGTAACAGTTGTAAAATAATATTAATATTTCTGTCCATATTTCAATTTCCACCTGTATATTTTCTAAATTTTCTCGAGTCATTGAATGCGACCAATTTCTAGTTACTTTTGCATTTCTGTGTTTGCCTCTCCGATTTAACTTGTTTTCTTGTCGTTAGAGGACATTTAGTTTATTTTGCTTTTTTTATGTTAACCATTAAATTACCTTATATTATGGTCATGTATCAAATACTGCTCTACTATTCGTCAAAGATAACTATCCGTAGCTTAGGCTTGGGTAAAATTTGGAAACTTGTGGCGTCTTCCAGCAACCTGCAATAGAATCGGTCGTGCTAAATTCCCGAATTTGGGTGTTTGATATATTTTCCAATGGTCGAATTGATTTAATATTTAACGGAAGCATCTTTAATCAATCGATTACCCGTTGTGCCGACAATTTGTTTTTGGACGTTCGGTTACAATTTTTTCCGAAATGGACTTTTAATACGGAAAACTCAAGCACTCCAAATCGTAAGTGTTTTCTTGTGCACGAATTGAGGTTACCGATGTTCTTTTTTCTATTGTAGGGGAACAAATACCGACCATATAGTAAATTTTGGAAGCCATTTGGACGTATCCAGTTCTTTTCTTTTGTGTACTACATCCCGTAGAATCATTAAGATCTTAAGGGCAGCCGAACGTAGATCATGAGAGAAATATACCTGGAGCACAAGCTTTGTTACCTCCGTAGGGGTTGTTTTTGGTTACACCAGGAACCTGTGGAATTGCCGACACACTTTATCGTTAGCGGTGACGTACCTTCAACCTTTTTTTTTCGTTTTTGCTGTTAAGACCTAAATATCTATGAACAGTTTATTTGACCCACATATGTATGTGGAAATTTTTACGTGTAATTAGTATGCTTGATCTTTAGGACTGTTTAACTATCAAGTACGAATTACTCTAGAGAAGTAATCACTTGTAAGGTAAAGAGCTCGTTACTACGATTAACTTCAACACCTCAAGCTACCGATTATAGTACATCATTTCAATTTTAATTTCTATTAATTATACTTGTCGTTGCTTAGCGGTACGAGGTGTCACATAACTTCAGGGGTTGTTGGTGGGTTCATTTTTGTGTTAATAGTTCATGGGAAGATTTAATTTTTTTGTATTTTGCATACTCTTTGGTTAATAAACAATAATTTTTCTTGTGGGTCAATTGTTGACTCTTTTTATACTGAAGCTGCCTTTCCTAATTCCGGTGGCTGCAGATAAAATTGTTATCGGTATTAGGTGGCGCCCGAAAGACTTGAATCGAAGCACCAGTAAGTATTAGTGGCGGAGATTTACTTGGAACCTTTTATAATAATTTGTTATCAAAGTTTTTAATTCGCTTACCTACTACCCTGAGTAAGAGCATATCTCTCTACGCTGTTAACTATTTGGCTAACGGAGCTAGCTGGCCGATCAGCGGCGTGTGTTGATTTCAAAGTGCACATGGTATTTTATAGTGCCCTGCATTCTAAGCTTGCGCGTTATAACACTTTTCCAGTCGTTTAGGGTTGTTCGTACCCCTTGGAACCGCTTAGTCGCAAATCCATCTAAAAGCATGTTCGTCCGAAACGCATACGTAATCTTTGTTTATTTCCACGGAGTCAAACAAATCATTTACGTCGCCGTCCTTTGATCTATCAAATCGCGGTGGACATTTTGAAAAGTTGCCATTCGTATCCACCACTGGCCTATTTAATAGTCCTCGGAATTGCGGGTCACTCTGTAATTGGGCATAAGCCCGTTGAGAGCCCTGAACAAGAGAGGGATAATAAATAAATAAATTGTTAATTACTTAACGTAATCGAACCGCCTTCCGCCATATTTTCGCAATTTTCTTTGACCCCCACACGCGTTGGCAAATTGTACGCGTTCCGTGTCAACTATAGTCTCGATTAAATTCCAGTGAGTCTTGAAATCGAGAACAAAAAGGGGAATTAAAACAGCAACAAAGCAAAAGGGTTGCACTTTGAACGTAACATTTGTTGCGAACTCCTCATCTATCCCAGTTGTAAATGCTTTTAATAAACCAGACGGACGTAGATCCAACACTTCACGTGGTTTATTGCTTTAAAGTTAAACAGAAACAAATTTCGTGAAACCTGACCTTTTTTAAAAAGCCGGTGCATTAACAAGCCCAAATGGCATGTGCAACTCGTTTCAGTGAATGATTTATACTTTTAGGTATCTATCACATATAAAAATCAACATATATGCGGAGGCTCAATCATAGATTCGCAAAGAATTTTAACAGCAGCACACTGCTCCTTCTCCGAGACTGGGGCTAGTCTTAGGACGACCGACTTAAACGTACTTGTAGGACATCTCAAACAAAATGGCGCAGCATACAAGTACAACGTGTTTAAGATAACTGCCCACCCAAACTACAACTGGAGGACGTTGCAGAATGACATCTGCATTATGGCGGTGACAATACATAATGACATCTTGCTTTTTTACGACCAAGCTTTACAGATAACACGTGGTTTCCAGCCGTGGAATGACTTGGTACGCCCAATACCTTTAACGAAATCGTTGCCTGCGCTCCATACAGAGTGCATCATTTCTGGTTGGGGAAAGTCACATGAGAACTCTGTAAGTCTAAATGGTACCTTCAACTAAGTCACTTGGTGAGTTTTACATATTTTAGACCACTGGAATGAATGCGCTACAGTTTGCCTACGTGGAAATACTAAATTGTAATGTAGGTATGGAATACGTCGCCATTCGCTACGGAATGTTATGCGCGGGAAGTGTCAACGGTGATGCCGATTCGTGCAACGTAAATTGTCACTTAATTGAATTATACCTAGTTAAAATTAGTTGTACCTCAGGGCGATTCGGGAGGACCTTTGGTCTGCAACGGTCAGTTAGTAGGCGTTGTATCTTGGGGACTTGGATGTGGACGTCGAGGTCTTACAGGTGTATATACCGATGTGTCTAAATATCTCGATTGGATTGCACTCACGGGTACCGCTGCGGTTCGAATCGGTTCCTTATCGCTAGGTTGCGTTTGTTTAATGACAATTTCTTGGATAAAGTAAGGCAATCAAAGAGTATAGTGGTACGGTTTTACCTTAAAAAATAAAATTTGTGATGGAATAACAGAATGTAACTGTGTAATCAATAGCATTAGGTTAATTATTTATTATATTTGATATATATTTTTTGTTTGTTATATGGATGGATGGTCATTTTAATTTGTCTGGTATTATTATAGTCATATATTAGTTGCCAGTTTAACTTTTTAGGCCATCGTACATTCGTAAACAATTTAAAGTGCTGATATGCAAATGCAAACGTCTTTCAAATTGTTTCCGAACTCGAAATTAGTTTAAGAGCCAGTGACAAGCAACCTGTATGTAAATTACAAAATCTGAAATGTTGCCCCCACCTATGAGATGAGGTCTCGCTAAGCCCGGCGAGTGAGGCCCTAGAGTCAGGCGCACCAAGTATGAAAATTTCATTAACTGACTATTTTATAAAGGCTGTCGTTTGATAAGTTCAAGCTATATATTTAATTAAATATAAAAATAACAATAGCAGACGATTATCGCGGTTCCAAGGTCATGACAGACATTTTGTAAATTGACAAAAATTCTTCAGTTGAATAAGCAAAGCCATGTCCGCAATGCATGCCCCAAATTTAAAAATAATTATGGAAACTGCAACAGAGTAAACGGGCTAGAAGCTCTAAAATAATAATAATAATAATAAAACTGTTCATCTTGTAGACTACGCAGTAGTAAACACTAATAATATAACAAAAACATACAATGAAAAAATAAGAAAATATCAAGATCTAAAGGTAGAAATAAAAGAACTCTGGAAAGTAGAGAAAGTTCAAATCCACCCAATAATTATGTCAACCACAGGAATAATACCCAAATCCATGTCTAAACACATACAAGAACTAAACATCGACAAATCAATTATAGGTAGAATGCAACAAACAGTCATACTGTCGATCTGTTACTTATTTAGGAAAACGCTGGAATGATCTGTTCATAAAGGAGATTATTCGAATTGACAAAGTCTGCGAATAACTCCCAATAATAATACCCATCAAGGAAGATACCGGAAGATAATAATAATAATAATAATAATAATAATAATAATGTTTATTTAGTAAAAAACAATTTCACATTGTAATACATCGTCACAAACAATACATTTACGAGGTGGTCTTCACAAAATCAAAAAATTAAGGCTTGGTTGAGTTTTGCACAGACATTAGAGACATGATCGATCCAGGACAAATTAGGATCAATGACAATGCCTAAAAATTTAGCATTGTTGACCCTAGGAATATTATTACCCTTCATCTTAAAGGAAAAAGTACTTGGTGCGGTGTAGACAGAGTGAATTTCTGTGAATACGGTTTTACAGTAATTAATGGTCAACCCATTTGTATGTCAAATTGTTGTAAAACTTTGTTTACTTTGATGGAAACTTCATTTGCGTTGTGTCCACTAACTGCAACGGTGGTGTCATCAGCGTACATGAAAATTTTTGCGTCTTGAATGTATTCTGGGAGATCATTAATGATGAGAAGAAATATTATAGGACCAAGTACGCTACCCTGAGGGGTACCCATGTCTGTGTTGTAGATGTCCGACAGGTTTCTGTGTATTTTAACTCGCAGCTTCCTATGTTGGAGATACGATGATATCCATGAGTTAATGTTTCCTCTGATGCCATAAGCTTCTAATTTGTCGCATACCATGTGACAATCGACGCTGTCAAACGCACTTGATAAATCGAACTGCACGGATACAACTACTCTTTTTTCATCAAGTTCGTCGAATAAATGCTGGATGTACTCGAAATTTGCTGTAGCGGTGGAACAACCTGGGCGAAAACCGTACTGGCGATCAGTGACGATTTTATGTTTGTCCAAAAAGGGCCACAGCTTAGCAACAAAAATCTTCTCTTTTATCCTTGAGAAGACGCTTAGGATAGAAATAGGTCTGTAATTTTTTATTATTTTTGGATCGCCTTTTTTTAATATCGGTGTTATCAAAGCCAACTTTAATGAATCAGGAAATTTACCCTGGACGAATGAAGCGTTTATCAGTTCAGCTAATCGAGTTGATATCTTATGCGCAGTTGCTTTACAGACCATGATGGTGATTCCATCGTCTCCTGAAGAATTCTTATTGGGCAAAGACGTGATAACATTATATATATCCTTAGCCAATACCGGATCAAAAAACATGCTGACAGGGTTGTGTTGTTTGGACGTTGTGCCCTTTAGGCTATTAGGTCGCGGTTGTGAACTACTGAAGTGTTCGGCGAACATCTTACATACTTTTAAGATATCTGATGTCACTTCGTTAGTTGTGGGAATTAATATATTTAATAATTATATATATTATATATAATTAATATATATTAATATAACGTTAATTAAAAGTAACCGTTCTTCAAAGAAGTGACCGTAAATCACGCCCCCTCCCCTCCCTCCAAATAATGGCGTACGTTGATCTGGGGAACAAATATTCCTTAATTTCACAAGAGTTAACGCACACTGAATCGAAATTCCACCAAATTATCTACATTTTTATCCGATAAATTTATCCCAGTCAATCCACTCGCGCGACAATACAAATAGACAAAATATCCAAGGAAATTAATTTTTAATTGCGCCTACTAAAATTACAAACTTCGACATTCTTATCGGGAAAAAATCTTATAGAATTGCCAGATGTCATGTATATAAAAAAAGTAGATTCAATAAATTTCTCTTGCGAAATAAACGACAAAATTACGCGTAAGGTACCGGATACGAATGTCGATGGGACCCTCTTAAACTTAGGAGTCGACGACCCAACGAGTATTTGCGCATGCCGTTCGGACTCCGTAATTCCCCCTCGGTATTCCAACGTATGATTAATATGGTTTTCTCGGAATTAAGGCTCACTAAAATTCCAGTACTGAAAGATACTCATCAGTTGCGGCAATTTTTGGCGTTCAGCAGTTCCGCAAATTGATCCACGTTTAGGCGCATAAATTGAAACCATTAATTGTCTTGCTGAGTCATTTGACGTCCCAACCTGTCCAATGGCAAACCACTAGTAATTCACTTTCGGACACTGCAGTTGCTCGCCATTCCCCACTCTTGTGTATTCCGCCTGCTAACATCTGAGCGTTTTATCTTAACATCACATAGAACTTCGAAACTAGCATCCTATAAGTGTTTTCAACACTAATAAAGTTTGTATGTCACTCACTTGTAAATGTGTATTAGAACCGATTACTGATTTAGTGAAAGTTAACCATTTGATTATAATCTAAACACTATTTGACCCCGTGTGAAGTTATCAGCCAGAATATTTAACAAGAAATCGAGCGCATTTCGAAGGAACCACAGTGAGATCATGAATATAAAATTAATGGAGTATCTGAGGAAAAAATATAGTAACATCATAAAGAGCAGTTGCTTAAGCGGAATTTTAATATCGCACTTCGCATTTTTTATCTTCTGAGCCTTCAGAACAAATCTATTTTGGAGGTCGTGATATTAACATACAAAGAACATTTCGCCCCGAAAGCTGTCTGATAGATTATTTTAGTTTATTGCGTTTTTTACAGGTCACAAAATTGAAGTAGGGGTTATAAAGACGAGGGTTAGTTCGCTAAATTGAGTTACGCGGAATAGACCGAAGAACAAGCGTTTCGTAGGGGTTAAATGTAGAAGAAACAGACACGTACGTGCCATAGTTGCTTTTATTATTGCGGTTCTACTTGGAAGCTTTATGCGCTGCGTATACGTTCCGCGAACCCTCATGCGTAAAATATTACAGGAATTTGAAATGCTTTGCAATAGATGGCTATCATTTCTGCAAAATTAGTACGTATGTGAAATCGTATACAAGAACACCCCGTGGATTATAACTTAACTAACTTCACTCTGTTATTATACCCACAGATAACCCTTTCATCACAATTCGCACATGTTCTGTGTAATTGGGTCGTAAAACTATGTTCCAATTTTTGGGAATGGTAAAGTAGGATAAATGCTGTTTGGACATGTATGTAGAACTTGTTTAATTAGTTTTTTATTATACCTGCATCACAATCTCCGTTTTAAACACTCAAATGCGTGCGAAAAAAGGCCTTTAAAACACGTGCTTTAAAGCTGCTAAGTAACGATACTTCAAGTATGACTTTTGAAACTGTCATCTGGGCGAAATAAAAAATCCTCTTAGGTCGCTTTCTGTGAATGCAGAACATTTCTTTGGCTTGTACCTATCCTTTGGTTGAAGCTTTCACAAACGCGCGTAATTTAGTGTATGCTTCCAAATCTGTTCCACTTTTTAATCGCAGCATTGTTTGAAGTTTTGAATGAATGCACCAAAAGATAGAAGTTTTAAATACCTTTGACATTTCCTTCATATTTAAGACTTTATTCGTAAGTAACTTCCTATTCATCCATGGAAACAACTTTTTCATATTCTGTATAATAGGCTTTACTGGAGTTGGATTTTACACGTACCAACGTTTGTTTAGATTTTACAACAAGCGATTTAATGGACGGTGTATTATCTTTTTCAACGGAAATCGTTTTATTCACAAAGAGGATGATTTTTATAAGCAAACGTCAAGTGACATTTCCATGGCAATCGTGAAATTACGAACACCCAACCCACTTAATTAGACATGTATTCGAGTATAACGTCAATATGATTTCATTGTATTTCCTATTTTTAAATTATACTGCAGGTATAATAAAAAATACTACAAGATACACGTGTATAATTGGTCTTTAAAGCATTTGCAACGTTCAAGGCACTCCGCTTCGCGTCGTGCCATTAAACTCGTTGCGCGTGCTTTAAAGACTTGATTATACACTTATATCTTATACTATCGAAAACTAAAGTTGGGTTACAAGAACTATACAGCGGCCTGCCATAAAAGACACCGAAATACCAGTTGGCTAATTATTTGATAAGTATGACAAAAAGCACTATCTATAGGACAGCGATAAACGTGATGCGAGGAAGATCCGCAACTGATCATAAGACCGATTTTGTTGATAGAGTAACAAGCAGGCTAAGAAGCCAGTATGGTTGGTTCCTGGGTTGCAAAAATTTAGACCGTTTTGAGTGTATATGGTGTGAAGGAGAAATATTGTGTAAAGTTGTGTATGGAGATTTAACAATTTTAATGTAAATATTAGTTATGTTGGTGACATGTACTTACTGTTAATGTAATTAAGTAAAACCTGTACAGTTGTAAATAAATAATAATAAATAATAATATAGCATATATGTTAAAAATGATATTTTAATATATTTGAATGTGTAGGCTAAGCCGTCCTTTAACCGTAAGGATAGATAAAGTGATCACTTTAACCGTAAGGGTAGAGAAAGTGAAACAGATGAGTGTGCCTTCTAATGACATCTGTCATTGTTATTTCAAATGCACGATATAAACTGACGTGCAGAACGTATGACAATTCTGTTTCTATAGAAACGATCACGACGGCAGAACCTAAGCTTGCTATTTTTGACGTCTCTTAATTAAATTCAGAAGCTTTAAAAGTTTTGTATTATACACGACGATAAAGGGAAACTAACCATATCGTGAAAGTTAATTCACTCAATGGTTAAAATATCCCTTTATCGTCGTGTATAATAAATAACCCTTATTAAAGTTAATTAATAAATAGTCAAAAGGTACGCTGCGGTGCTCACACTCGTACAGTTCGAACCAGTCTCATAGATAACGTCGATCGAGCGCATAATCAGCCCTATGATGTATCATAAACGTTATTCCTATTCTATCCTGTGCAGGCTATTCACAAATAATGAAATAACGTGTAAAGTTAACATCGACCATAACCTTTTATGTGACGTATCACGAGTTTAAACCTAAAAGTTATGGCACCCGTTATGCCGCATAGGTTAAAAAGGAAATAAATTTTGCAGCTGATAACAAGAACAACGATATACGAAAGCGGCTATAGTTAGAAAGAGAGAGAAAACGCGATAAAGCAGGCGATATGCGCAAGCGAAATAACAAATGCTGGAACTACAAAACAACTAACATGATTATTTATGTGCGGGTAAGTATAGTGGTAACTATAACTGTGCTTCATTTTGTTGATGCATTCTGTTACAGAACCTGCTACGCAAGATGCAACGCCTGAACGTTTGAAGGTAAGGTATGCCCTCTTAAATTTACACTCACAAACAATTTATTTCTTTTAAAGTTGTTCACGATTTCAATCCCCATGATGAAAACTCTGCAATGGAAAGTGCTGCTACGTTACGTTTTTTAAACTTCCAATCAGTTAGGTGTTTATGCCTTATTGCTACCAGGCTCAAATGTAGGTAATTTTGTAGCGATACTTTTTATAGGTGGGTACCTCTTTCAGATTTGTCGCAGTCGCAGTGATATAAATAGAAGACTGGTATAATTTATTCTACAAGTTAAATAAAAAAATCAATATCCTTAAAAAAATAATAACAGAAACTTCAACCTTAACGTTAATGACAACTCTTGTTACACGTTTCATAAAAGAATAGTTAATTTGCTAAATCTGAAACAGATATGTTAGGCCAAAATTTAAAATCAAATTTTAATCACACCATCATAATAAACAGTTAACTGTATCTGTACAATCCGCTCTAGATAAAATTCCTGCTGTTAAGAGTCTTCTGTACCCACTGCACCCAATGTAAATTTCCACAAGAGCGCCCGCCATAAAAACTCTAGTTGTTTTTCAAAAAAAAATTTTTTTAAAGAACTATTTTATAAATTTAGACCTTTATCTACAAAATGTTCGGACTATTTTTTTAAGAAAGTGTATAGCAACTGAATATCGATTGTTTAAAGATTAGCTGTTTTGCGCCGATTATTGCGCTAATCTGTTTCATTTTTTTACTCGCGATCAAGACGATTTATGGAAAAAGTAAACCGACGGTTTTTTAGATAAGTTCCTTCTAAACATTACCCCAAAAAATGAAATCATATTTTTTGTAAATAAAGTCTGTATCTTGGCGGGCGGTAAACCAACAATTTCAGTGTAACAAGTGCAGAGCTGGGAAGTATTCGAATACAATTGTATTCGAATACAGTATTTGATTACTTTTGGTGTAATCAGTAATCTGTAATCGAATACTTTTTCAATACTGTAATCGTGATTGTAATCTGACTACTTTTAGTCAAAAGTAATCGTAAAATAATCATAATGTATTCATGATTACAAAAGTAATCATGATTACTTTTGTATTCGTGGTTACTTTTTGTAACCATGAATACAAAATGAATACTTTATTTATATTATGATGACAAAGGTTCCTATTCATTCTTACTACAGAGTGCAGGTTGATTACTCATCACCTGAATGAACTGTTATTTTTAAGTCGTCTTGTTTCAGTTCAAAATTGTGAGTTGTTGCAAAAGGTGTGATTCTTTCTTTTTCTGACTTGTAAGTTGTGTAGTGTGTGTACGAGAGACGAAGAGTTTTCAAAAAACAATTGAGAGCATAATTGAAATGCAAGGTAAGGAATGTCTATATGCACGTTAACGTGTATAAAAAATTAAAAACCGAATGCACGGGTGGCGGGAAACTTAATCAGTAAACTATGACGTCAAAGTCAATGTGTTCCATGTTCGATAATTTTTTCATATTAATATTGGACGTTCTGCTTTAATAATTTCGCATATGTAAGGGCTGTTTTTTTTTAATCTTTACTTTTAAATAATATATTGATTGTCTACCCGTTGTTTTGTGATTAAGATAATTTAGGTAATTTCGATATTACTTTTCCTGTGGAAGGGTATTTATGGGTAGCTGGGAGAATCGTTTACGAATAGCGCCCAGATTTATCTGACAACGACATTGTGGAGTAATTGTCTTGTCGGAAGAACTGGGATAACAAACATTTAATTATGTGTGTATTTTAGGAGCAGAAAATGTTGTCGATGATATGTATTTTGCTGAAGACCCCTATGAAGATATTTCCGATGATGACCCAGAATACTATATACCAGAGACGCTAGAACACAGACAAAAAAGAAAAAGGAAGATTTCAGACTACCCAATGCCACACTCGTCAAAAAATAATCGTATTGCCAACACTAGTGCTTCCAGTAGGTCAACGAATCCCCCCTTAACACTAAACACAGAACAAGAGTCGACCACTGTTACTACTCCCACTAGTCCAACTCATAGTGATAAGACCTACCCCACTGCTACAATTCTTGATGGCACATTTTTTAAAGTACGTGGTCCTTCTAATAGCAAATGTGTTGAAGCAATTTGCCAAATTTGTCTTCCAAAGACAAAAATTATAAAAGGGTTCCATTCTACATCAACCAACTTTTTAAAACATCTTGACCGTATCCATCCTAACGATTTTCGGCGATACAAGGAACACAAGGAAGCGAAAAATAAATCTTCATCTGAACGTGAACAGCATAATAGAGCTATAAAGCTGCTATAAAGAAGATTTCCGAGCTTTATCACACAGAATGCAACAAAATCATTGAAAAGTTGAAGACAGTTGACCATGTATGTACAACAGCTGATATTTGGTCAGCTAAAAGGAGAAGTTTTATGGGAGTTACCGTGCACTGGATAAATTCAGACTTTTCAAGAGGATCGGCTGCATTAGCATGCAAAAGAATCGTCGGAACCCACGATTTTGCAAATATCGCAGACCATTTGCAAAACATAAACTTAAAATACGGTTTAGCTGTCACAAAAATAACTGCAACGGTCACTGACAATGCCAGTAATTTTGTGAAGGCATTCAGGCAGTTTTGCTCACTGGAAGAAGATGAGGATGCGCCAGAAGGAGCAATTAGAGAAAAAAATCAGGCAGATGAGGAAACAGAGATTTTATCCAATGATGAAGACGTTGAGTATGAAACCACGAGTTTAAGAGGAGACTTACTAAGTTTAAAGAATGTACTTCCAAATCATAAACGATGCGCATCGCACACATGCAATCTCATTGCTACAACGGATTGCCAAAATGCAATTTCAAAAAATGCCGCCATCAGAACGAGACACATGCATGCCTTCGATAAGTGCTCCAAATTGTGGAAAAAAGCGGGTAAGTAATCGATATAATATATTGATATCAGCAATCGGCATCTATGTAATTTTCAGGAAAACCAAAATCGAGTGAAATAATTTTGGAAGTGTTGAACCACACTCTCAGTTATCCTGGCCAAACTCGATGGAATTCTTATTTTGATTCCATTAGTCAGATTTTGAAGGAAAAACACAAACTTCCAACACTTTTTCAACGACTGGATCTTGTTGGTTTCAAAGAAACGGAAGTGCAATATCTTGAAGAATATGTAATGGTTATGTCTCCATTAGCGGCTACACTTGATTTCCTTCAAGGTCAAAATATGAACTACTATGGTTACCTACTGCCAAGCATCATTTCGTTAAAAAATAAGCTGGAAAAACTGACTGTAGAAAACTTTAGTTACGGCGGACAAGTACTGCTAGAAGCAATTCTAAAAGGAATTAATAAACGATTTTTAAGCATTTTAACATTACATGAGAGAGATGCCGTTTTCGCAGCAGTCTTGTGCCCACAATTTAAGTTAAGGTGGTTTCAATGTATTTCCAGCTCCAATTGCACTATAGAAAATATTAAACACGATATAGTGAAAACTGGAAGCAGAGAATTATCATGTCGTGACGACTTCGACGAAAAATCATCTCCACCATTGGCACCATTAGAAGTCGATGACAACTTTTTTGATTTTAACGACAACAATGAGAATGAGGAAACTGTATCAACCAAAGTAAAAAATAATCATAAACTTGAATTAGAGTTGATTAAATATCTGGATGATAAGAGAAAAAATTTTGAAATGCTGAATGATTATCCACTGCTAAAAAAATTATCTTTAAAATTTAATACATGCTTACCTTCTTCTGCTGCCGTTGAGAGAATGTTCTCCTTCGCTTCAATTGTAAATAGCCCTCGCCGTAATGCGCTGTCTGATGACAATTTTGAAATGCTTGTGTTATTAAAAGCGAATTATACCTACCAATAAATTCTAAATATTCTTTTATTGTATGTATATCGTAATCTATATTTTCCTATAAGTTCGCCGCCGAAGCCGCACGCCGATTTGATTTTCATCAAAATCTATGCTTGAAGTTGCATTTGTGCTTTGTTGTAATATAAACTATTTCTATTGATAAAGAATAATCCTAATCAAGATATGATCCCGGCGTCAGAAAAGAAAAGTAATTGTGATTACAAAAACAAAGTAATCGATTACAATTGTAATTAGTAATCAAACACAAATTATGTAAAGTAATCAATTACTGTAATCAAATACTTTTTTGGCAAGTAATTGTAATCAGTATTCGAATACTTTTTTTGAGTAATCATCCCAGCTCTGAACAAGTGGCGCCGCTGCACAGTGTCGGCGGAAACTAACTAACGACCAAGAAAGGGGTTGACAAAGCAAAAATACCATCTTGTCTCTTGCAACTATAATCGTCTATATACTATAATGTAAAAAAGTTGCGCTTGGGTAAAGAAGACTCTTAATAGAGACTATATCATTCAAAGAATTTCAAAACTATTAGACAAAACAATTAATAAATTTAAAGATAAAAAGTGTCTTACCTAACTCTATTGACTGCAGATAGAGGAAAGTAATATAATCGTATCAATTAATGATTACATCACTAGTGTAACAAAATTTTTCCAAATTCAAAACTATTCTTCGCTAAACAAAAATCCAACAACCAATTATCAAAAAAGTGTAAGAAATGTTATAAAATAATGTCAAAGTACACTCGCGAAATATATTAACCCTTCAAAATTAATATTAAAGAATCCTAGAACACCTCTATTATATTGTTTACCTAAATTACATAAAATTAAAGATGAATCTAACAATTTTATTAACATTCCACTCAGACCAGTCGTCTCTCAAGTGTCCTCACCTACCTATAAGTTAGCTAATTTTCTTAACAAGATATTCAAAGACATTACAAATTTCAAATCCCAATTTCCTATTAAAAATTTCTTAGACTTAAGACATTCACTTCCCAGATAAAAGTTTTCTAGTTAGTTTTGATATTACAAATCTTTTTCCAAGTCGATGAGACACAAAATTAATTAAAGAAATACTTTAGTCTGAACTCAGTAATTCAGATACTGATAACAGATTGCGCTAGAATCTCTATAGTTAGCGCCACTTTGAGTTCAGCTCGCGGCATTATAGATTTTGCAAAAAAAGCCCTTGACTTTCGGGGGGTGCTATGTTAACGCTAGCACCACCATTGTGTTCGATTACTACCTACCAAAAGCAAGCGCTGCGTTGTGGTCTTTACACGTAGCGCCACAAACTGCAGAGCTGGCGCCCAATCCCCAACATTGTGAAGATATACAAAACCATGATGTTTATTCAATAGGTTTAGTTTTACAAAACATACACGATTTAGAAAAAAGTCTAACAGTACATTGCCGAAAAGAATTATTATTGCAAAAACTGTTTGACACGAAATGCCATTGCAAAAATCTCACAAAAAAATTTTTACTTTTGGAACCTTTAAACATCGAGAGCAAAAACGGGGAACTTATGTTACAGCACATAGCCGTATCAGACAAAAAATATATATTACGTGGATGTATAGGCTTTACAGGAGGGTCGACCGTTAACATTAATTTAGCCGGTCACTTTATTGCCTACTGTATCGTCACAACGATAAGTGGGAGGAATTTAATGATTTGGCAACAAAGAGGGGGTCGATATTTGCATCAACGCTTTTCTCATCGGTATTATTGTTCTATACTCTTTAGCTTTAGTTATTATTTATTAAAAAAGTATATGTATTTTTTATGTTTTCGTTACTGGTAGTTGTTTTCAGCCATTAGTATTTATTTTGAAACATCGACGTTTGTTTTATTGTTTTTGTTGGACACCCCTGCACATGTTTGAAATACTTTGTACAGTTTATCTAATATTAATTTGTACGGTTTATCTAGATTATAAGTTATAACAAAAGGACCGGTCTAGGGCAGATAATTAACCTTGGCCGGACCACATTCCTTCAAATAATTAGCGCACAATTAGTTTTAAGGCATTACTCATATTGTATTCTGGATTCATTCTGTGTTTGTTAGTCAACGCAAGCAAATGTTCGCGTTATCATAATAAATCTTAAGAGAAAATATAGGCGGTTTTCTTTAACCCCAAAACAGTTTTATATACAGTGTGTCCGAGATCGGGTGGGATTGCATGGGTAACTTTCTTATTGTTAAAGATAAGTTTTAGATGCTTATTTAAACTTTCCTTGTGGGAATTCAAAATGTCGAGTAGGTTCGACGTAAATTCAAAAAGACTAAAATTGGTCATTTCCTTTAATGTCTTATATCATCGAAAGTAAGAGATATAAAAAAAAGTTTTATATAAAAGTTACTGTCTTTGATACACCTAATTTAGAATTGATGTCAAAACAAAATTCAAGATGGCAACCTTTGAGGAACATTTATCAACTTCCTAAAGTTAAATAGGCGCCATATTGGATTTTTAGATTATTTGATAGATTTTTTAATTCTCTTTTCAACGAGCATGCAATCCCACCCGATCTGGGACACACTGTATGGGTTTTTTGGTGATTGTATATTAACGCTAGGACAGCGGAAGAAAAAACGTCAAAATTTTACTCCAAAAAACAGGTAATTCTGGGGAACAAATGCCAGCCGCCCCTCTGCTATAGGAAGTGGCGTTAGCTACCTCTAGATCCGATGAAGTTAAAATGGTATTTGCCGCAAGCATTGTTTAAATATTTAAAGTGGTAGATGAGGTCAGGTCAGCAGAACGCAGAACCTCAACAGTTTACTCGAAAAATCACAATGGTGGTGCTAGGTGAAAATTCCCCCATACTATTGGAGGGTGGCACTAGGTCTTTAGCTCTAGCTCTGTATTTTTGGCACTATTTCTGACGAACACAGCCCACCAGCGGTTGCTTTTGGAAGTGATCGGAATTAATGGTGGTGCTAGCGTTACCCCCCGAAAGTCAAAGGATTTTTTGCAAATTCTATAATGGGACGAGCTGAACTCAAAGTGGCGCTAGATATACAGATTCTAGCGCAATCTGTCTTTAGTCAGAAATTTGAAATGGTGGTGCTAAGTTAACGGACCCCTACAAATCACGAAATTATATTAAAGAACCGTAAGGAACGAAACCTAAATGGCACTGCATGAAATAAGTTAACCTTTTGTTCACAACAAAAGAACGTTTTCTTTTTACAAAGCACTCTTCTCAAAAAATTAAAAATTCTATTTTTAGGAAAAATGTGATACTGAACCACCATGTGTGATATATCGTTGTAAAGAGAAAAAAAGACGTAATCTCAAAATGTGAAAATGGCGCCCATAAGAAAAACTAAAGTTTCCACGCGTTTCTCCGTCATCTTGAAAGTTATTAAAAACAGGATGCCATACTTGAAATCTCCATTAAAAAGTGTCCGAATAATGTGTTAATTAGAAATGTCTACTACGATTAGTTTATCATAAAAAAATTAAAAACGAAAATCAGAAATTTTCGTTTTTTGCGATATCTTCAAAACTATTGAAGATATTTCAAATTTATTTTCAGATTCTTATTCGGCACGAAAATTGGCAACTTTGCCCCCATTTAACCAACGTTCTATCTCTTAAGATAAGTGAGATCCCCATAGTGGCACTCGAAAAATGGACACCGTGTATAGTTTTTTCACTACTAGAGTCTGATGACATGATTATTAACCTTTTTTCCACTTGTAAAGTAGGCTTTCTCGGCAGTTGTTTGAAGTGGTTCATAATGTGGACATTATTAACTAGTAGTCAATAATGAGAACTGTCACGCTGTCACTTTTAGAAATCACAACTCGAAATTTCGCTCAATAAACGTTTAGACATGTTCTCTAAAATCAACCACTACATTACGAAAATGAAGGTTTCAGGACGATTTTGGGTAAAGTTAATTGATATGATATGTACAATATAGACGCGATCGCCAAACTGACCGATAGGCAACACACAATACAAATTAAAAATATACAAATGGGGAAATTTACGCCTACCTTTTAGTAGAAGTGCAGTCGTATAAAAATACTGGGGCTACATAAATAAAACGCGTGAAAATTACTATTCACGCGAATTAGTCGGAATTTTTCCACGTACTTACATAACGAATTGACAAACGGCAAGTTTAGAGAAACAAGTTGTTAGTGGCAATAATTTATTGGCAAATTCTTACAGATTCTTATGAGTAATATGCAAAAACTGAAGTCACTTACCTTTTTAAAACTGGTAGAAATTAACTCAGAAATAATAGAAGTTGCATAATGAGCCTATTATTACACCGAAACTCGACAAAGACAATACCTTCAGTAAAATACATCGTTATAGCCTCGTTTTAATTCTGGACAAAATGGAGTAAATGAGCTCTGAATGGAACTAAAAATGTTTATTGCGTCACTTGAACCATAAAAGTGGCGAAACACTTGTAAATTTTCTCAAAAGCAATTTGTGGAGCTCTATAACTCAACCTGGAATATAAGCTTGATGCATGACAGTTTTCCAATAGAGCACTATCCTCAAGTGATTTTATCATTTCCTTTCTAAAAATATAGTAAATTCACCTTTCTTGCAATACCTACCTAACAAAAACTTTTTGCTTGACAGATTTTACGCTTTTATATCGGCTCGCGACTTCGGATTATGGGAAATAAAAAGGTGGCAATTTATAAAATATGTCAGCCGGTAGTAAGTTTGTTTTTATTTCTACTTTCGTATAAAAATATAGAGATAGCTTGAATGAAAGTTCGAGACGTTTATGATTGATGCTTATCTAAAGGTCTATTTTATCTGATCGGTAATCAACGTCTCATTCCCTGCGTCGTGTCAAAGCGATTTCCTCTTTTAAGCTTGAATTTGCGATCAAATAGTATTCGCGAAAAAGAGTAATAGACTTGTTTCTTTTTCTAATTTCATTAGGAAACGGTGATTTATCTTTTATGAGAGGCTTTTCCAATATAGATACATATAAGCAGTGTATGGGATAGGTCGGTTTTGTACTGAAGACGAGTGTAGTTTGTTAAAAAACACAATAGTTTTATGAAGTTGTGTGATTTGTTCTTGAATGGTAAATACTCTTTCCCTTGTCTAACGCATAAGTTTTGTGATGCTGGATGCAGAGGATTTAAACTAATGGGAAACTCCGAATAACCCATGGAATTTTTGGCTTTTGAACCATTTCAACGCCTTCACGTCTTGAATTTTTCCATTCAAACCCACACGTATCGTTTTGAAGTCCCCAAATTATGATTTGATTTATGTCGACGACAATGCATTCACGACTTATTCCCTCCATTAGTTCCTCTAAGCAAAGTATGAAATGAATCGTAATAAGTCTCATAATGGAAATACACACTTTGATCACCATCCATTTTCAACATCCTCGTACAACACATATCACTTGCTACATCAAGTCCTATTTGCAGAATTTTTCTTCCTCTATTATTTAACGGTATCGTCGTATTATAAAACAGGCGACTCTTTTCCTCATGCAGCCGATTGGCATATTCATGTGTCGTTATACCATAATAATATATCGCACAAGTTTGAAAATCTTGATCATTGTCATATGTCACCTGATAGCTCGGTGACAGTGAAACGAGACTAATTTTTAACTATCGCGCTATGGTATTTTATGCACTACGGAGATTATGTAACTTGTTCATTTAAGTAAAAATAAATTTAAGGACTAACAACTTATACAATATCCTCCTTATCTTATTCATTTGTTACAGAAGCAGTATAAACAATTTTATTAAAGAACTAACTTACGAGGAATCTGAGGAGTTCCATAACTTCGGCCGAATGTCTAAAACAGATCTCGAATTTTTGTTAAATAAAATTAGAGCTCTAATTAAAAAGCACGATACTCAAAGGAGAATCGCTGTACCATCAAAAAAGAGATTAGCAATAATGTTACGTTATTTGGCAGCAGGAGTTAGTTATCGTAGTCCTCACTTTCTTTTTAAAGTTTCGCATCAAGTCATCTCATTAATAGGGCCTGAACTTTGCAAAGCTATTAACTCTTTACTCTCAAGGATCAAATTAAGGTAAGTAAGATAAACTGTCTATTTAAATATATATTTAAAAAATGGGAAGCATAAAAGGAAACCTAGTACTGTGCGATCAAAAATTAGTTGCTGTCGAGTCACCTTTGGAACTTTTGTTTACATGGGAAATCGTATTTAACTTGAACTTCCAAAGGCGACTCGACAGCAACTCATTTTTGATCGCCCGTTATTTAAACAATAGGGTAATGTTCATTCAACATTCAAGAATGCAGTCTATTTCTATAATACTATTTCGAGCTACAAATTTTGTAGTAATAATAAGTAAGGGGTAAGCAAGGGTCCGTTAACTTGGCCCCCCCACCGAGAGATTTGATGGTCGTATTATTTTAAAATGAATGCGCTCGTTATGCGCTCATATGCGCCACCGATAATAACTCTTGCGCCATTATCGTTTTTTAGAAATCCGAAAAAACATTTGGGGGGGCCAAGTGAACGTAGCCCCCCCCCCAGTACGTATTTTGTCTCTTGTAACTAGGTCACCTGATACATTTTGTTATGAGCTCAATTGCGCCACTTGAATTAAAGCTAGCGCCTTTACGGTTAAGCCGTGACAAATTTTCAAAAAGTGGGGGGGCCAACTTAACGTTTTTAAAAGTTACTTTTTTCAACATCTTTTCATACGACATTGTACTCTCAGGTATGCGCTGAAATGCGCCGTAAAAAGATATCTTTGCGCCATTATTGTTTTTTGGATATCCTTAAATATATTTGGGGGGGGGGCCAAGTGAACGGAATCCCCCATAACGCATTTTGCTACCGGTATTTGTGCCACTTGATACATCTGGTTATGAGCTCAATTGCGCCACTTGAATTAAAGCTAGCGCCATTACGGTTAAGCCATAAAACATTTTTAAAAAGTGGAGGGTCTAACTTAGCGTTTTCAAAAGTTATTTCCGGAAGTGCGTCCATTTTGAAAATATTTTACATCGATTCGGCCTTCGGAGTAACTCCTAAATACAAATTTTTAAAAACCTACTTATTTTACTTTCTCAGAATCGTTTAACTAAAGCTCCCAAAAAAACACCCTGTATAGTGTTTCTGAAACACTATAATGGCGCCAAGATTTTTGTTTACGGTGCATTTTAGCGCATGATGAAAGGTACGATGTAGTAGAAAAAACATGTTAAAAAACGTAACTTTTGAAAACGTTAAGTTAGCCCCCCCCCACTTTTTAAAAATTTTTTATGGCTTAACCGTAATGGCGCTAGCTTTAATTCAAGTGGCGCAATTGAGCGCATAACCAGATGTATCGAGTGGCACAAATACCGGTAGCAAAATGCGTTATGCGGGGTTCCGTTCACTTGGCCCCTCCCAAATATATTTAAGGATAACCAAAAAACCATAATGGCGCAAAGATATCTTTTTACGGCGCATTTCAGCGCATACCTGAGAGTACAATTTCGTATGAAAAGATCTTAAAAAAAGTAACTTTTAAAAACATTCAGTTGGCGGCCCCGCTTTTTGAAAAATTGTCACGGCTTAACCGTAATGGCGCTAGCTTTAATTCAAGTGGCGCAATTGAGCGCATAACCAAATGTATCAGGTGACCTAGTTACAAGGGACAAAATACGTACTGGGGGGGGCTACGTTCACTTGCCCCCCCCCCCAATGTTTTTTCGGATTTCTAAAAAACGATAATGGCGCAAGAGTTATTATCGGTGGCGCATATGAGCGCATAACGAGCGCATTCATTTCAAAATAATACGACTATGAAATCTCTCAGTGGGGGGGCCAAGTTAACGGACCCGGTAAGCAAGGATTCTGAATTCTGCCAACTTGCACTATTTTCTTATTGTGATTGAGTTTGGTGGACAGTGGCTGAAAATTGTTGAATGGTATTGGCTGGAGATGGTCGAATGTCTTAGGCTGGAGATTCTGGAATAATATAGCTTGGAGAAAACAGTAGCTACCTAGGTAAGTAGAGTTAAGGATATATATATTTTAATTAATTGTATGAATGGATTGTTTTAGGTTATCCTTCGACTGTACACATTTTCGAAGATTGACTTCCGACCCGGACCCGGTCAAATAAAATTGAGGTACCCGTCTCGAACGCACTGTATATGGACGAGTATTTGGGCGCTCTCCGGATTTATTTATTTCTTCTAGGAGTGAGAAATGGAAGGTAAAAATAATGTTTTAATTTTCAGAGCCGTTTTGATCGCTGATAAGGAAAGCCAGCTGCAGAATATAAGTGTGAAGTTTCTAATTGTTCCCGTAGAGATATGTATGTAAATTTTTTTGATAGCATCCGACAGCCCTCGGCATGAGGAAGTAGGGGAACAATTAATATTGTAGGATTTCAGCCCCGTTAATTACGTATTGGCCGATTTCAGTTTCTGTATATTAATTTAAAACTGGGGAAGAAACCAGCAAGGTAGCTCGTTTGAACGTAGAGACACCTGATAAAGTATCCTGTTACTTGATCCTCAAATTCCAGGACGCGATCGGTGTTAATTGAATTATCGAATTTCAGAATTTCAACCGGGCCAATTAAGTGAGTGTTGAAATTCAGTTAAATTCAAATTAAAGTTAAGTGGGAGAAGTAACTCATTCACTTTCCTTACTATCTTTTCCAAGAGTGCGCACTTTGGTTTCGATGATGCGCGTACGCGAGTGATTGTTATAACGTCGACCAAAAAATAATAACGTGCGACTCTACTAACGCAAGTGCATAGAAACCAAGATTAAAGGTGTCTACCACAGGGAGCTCCCGAAGAAAAGGAAGTCGAACAACACAGTAAGTGACAATTCCTTGTTTCCTTTACATCTTTTGAACATTGAGTATAAATAACAGTAACTAATTAAATGGGTTGCAGTAAACGTTATCAGAGTGGGTTATGGTTGGTATCGTTGGAAGCGCGCTCATTTATCCAGACGTTCGGACTTTGTCCCCGATTTTTAGCACAGCAATCATCAAAGTCTCTCTTTAACAGTAAGAATAGATGATCACTTTAACGGCAAGGGTAGAAAAGTGAAACAAATGGTTGTGCATTCTAGTGGCATCTGTCATTCTTATTAAAAATGGAACGCGGAGCACGAAATAAAATGGCGTTCAGAACATAAAACAACATTGTTTCTATGGAAACAACTGAAGAACCTAAGCTTGCTACTTTGACTGCTAAATTAAATTCGGAACCTTTAGAAGTTTTATTATGGCTTCTGAAATAATGTAAAGTTATGTATAATACACGGGATGTTTCCCTTAATCGTCTTGTATACTAAATAACTATTATTATAACAAAAATGTATTCATTACGCTCACAGCGATTTCGAAGTGATGCTTTTTTCATTTTCTGCATAATTTATTAGGAGAACTCCGTTTGAAATTGTTTATGTCAGATGCAAACATTACAAAGATCGCATTATTTTTATTAGCTTATAGGTATCATATTATATACGAGGAACCAAAATATAAGATTAAAAGTCGTAATCTGCGTCCATTGTATCCACACGTCACGACCTCACAACAGAACGCTCAGACATCATTCAATATTTCACTCCTCGATGATCGATGACAGCCTCTCTACAATACGTTCATGCTCCAATAAATCTTAAAATAATTAACCGCAGCAAAATTAATTAGAGGACTTTCCTTTACGAGACTAGGAAAAGTCATTAGCCCTAGTTAGTGCCCTACTAAATTTCATTCACTGTTTATCTACGATCAAGTGCTTAATTACAAAGCAATTCCAACTCTTTTAATGTAGATAAATGTTTCGGAATTCCGGTTAATTTATCAATTGAAGTTAGATTAAGGTTCGACCATCCAATACTTACAAAGCATTTCGCGTGATATTTCAACGAACTTTACACGCTCATTTCCCTTAAATACATAATGGTTTAAATTAGATTTTCCATTCCTTTTTTCTCCTTATTGCCGTTTGACACGAAAGATCCCTTAATCTAAGTAGTAGCAATCATTAGATATTCAGGGTAGAAATGACTTCACTCTTAACAGAATAAAAGAAATAAATAGATCCAACTCTAAAGTAAGAGGTTAATTGCCAATAAAAATACTTTTATGCTATGCTGTGCTGCTATCATACCAAGATGTTTAACAACATTCTTAAGATGGGTTTATACAATCAAAACACCGATCGTACAGAATGGGATGACCGCCGTACGGAATGGAATGGCGGCCGTACGGAATGGACTGGGAACAGAATCACCGGTTAAGGATGTGCGCGTCAAAGTGGCGCATGCGCACTCTTCAAGGACAGTTCAATGACGATAAATACAACATTTTGTCTGTATTATACCGTTATTTTCTCTGGTCTAAGAAAGTAGGTAGCTATCGATCGAAGTTCATTCCCTCCTGTTCAAAATCCAAAGGTTGCCGACTGGTCCAAGAGTTCAAAGTCCATTTCTAGCTGTCCAAAGTTCAAAGGTTGTCGATCAAATTCCATATCCAGCTGCTCGCCGACCAAACGTCGCTCACTGTTCTGTTTCGTAACGGCGCCGTATGGAGCAATTTAAAAATTGTTAAAGATTAGTGATGTGTACATGTTTAGTTCGGGTGTAGTCGGTAAAACGACGAATATAACATTTTCTTCATAGTGGTAATTGATTTAGGCAGTGGCGCCGATCGAAAAAACATGTAATGGTGACGTAATACTGAGCCAGTGAACTAGTAATGGATAAATATATAAAGCAGGAGGCAATAAACTCATTTGCGGAAAGATCGATGATAGTGCAATGCATGGTATGTAAGTCATAGGGCAATGGACGTAAATTAAATAGCGTTATCACAACTCACCTGCTTCTACTGTTGAAGATGAAGTACCTAAGTACGTAAGTACAAGTTTCATTCATGTCTGACTTAGTTATGAGTAATTCAATAGAGACAGGGAAATCCTTTCAATGAAAAAATAATGTTTTTTGACCCAACCCGAAAGTGTAGAACCAAACGAGAATCCGCTAGAACGAAGTGAAGGAGAAGAACAAGAAATAAATAATACGTAACGAGAAGTAATACTTTATACATCCAATACATTCCGTTGCTGACGGCCTCTGCAAACCAACAAACTAACGAAAGCAATCACTTTGGAAATTTTATTGCTTCTAAGCTGAGAAGTACCGATGAAACAGTTCGATTACTACAATTCTTACTATTCCTTTCCAACTCAACCCTACGCAGCACGATAGAGTTCTTCAAGCAGGTCCTACTACCGGTCCTCTCAATTGCAAATCATTAAAGTGCTTATACAAACAGCCTTTTCAGAGTGTGGATACTAATAACTGTGGAGAACCTTCTCAAATTGTGACTACAAAGAACTGGACTGGACTACAAAACTGGAGGTCAGGAATGATTATCATACACTTCTCATCATAACTGTACTCGTTTTACACATACAATCTTAAATCCATTTTTTTCAATGGCACAATTTTTTTTATTGGTTTCAAACGTTGCTTTAGATTTTGATAGCAATTTATTGAAAGCACGGCGTGTTCCCGCCATTGTTCTGTTTACAGTCACCTTCCAAAATAAAGAGTGCCATTTTTTATTTCTATGTAATTTATAACTATAGTTGATATCAAATACACATAAAGAGTGGTACCATCTTTAGGAAAGATCTTGCAAGCACCTGCTGTGGTTATTTCTTTGTTTTAGTTCCCTCCACTTTGGGAGGTGTTCGTTCAATAATTTCCTCATTAAGCAACGTTAACACGCCTTTCTGCTTGGGCCAACCTGCAAATAATGGTGATAGTACATCTGGGATTTCGCATATACCTACTATATGAAACGTAATTTCAGATTCGTCGTTGCGTGACCTTAGAAGATTACTCTAGCGAATTTTCTAGAGCGATATCAGGGCGCCATCAAGTTGATAGTTACCGGCGATAAGCAATGAAAGCGGAAATGCATTCTGTTTATTGTTTGCTACATAAGCAAACTGAATTGTGTTCAGTAAATCACGTAATTAAATTTAGGTTACATTACAATTACACCACCACAACAGCTGACTTACCCTTCTTAATACATTGAGCACAACTCATTCTAAACGTCAAGTCCGAAGTAAAATACTTTGGTTCAGGATATTTCCTCAATGCATAGCTCAATATTTCAGAATCGGTCCTCAGTTTGAACGGTAGACCAACATCCAAACCTTCCATGCTATCAACTTTTCTACAAATATCGTACGGGTCCTTTTTCATTCTTCTTTTCGCTTCTTTTAATTCACCGATATCTAATTCATGTAGAAACGACTCGTTCTCTTCAGAGCCATCTTCGGAATCCATCAAAACTAAAAGTAAGATTTTCTCAGCCATCAGACTTATCGCTGTGAAATACGTTATGTAGTCCCAAACTTTATGAAAACAGTCTTTGTTGTACCACCAATACACTGCATAGTCCTTTTCATCCAGGGTTGGATAGATATCATAGATTTTGTCACGTAACTCACTAACGATTATTACGTTTTGGTCCAATTCAAGAGTGCACTTGTGTAGTATACTAGCACACAACTTACTTATAGTGAGGAGAGTGACTTCCATTTTATTTAATATTTCACAAAAAATTTTTATGCCAAATTAGGTGAGTGGTACCTGTCACGTTGACTGATTTACAGTGGTCCAACTCAAAATTCATGTCAACCCACCATTGCATCACATTTGTGTACAAAAAAACGTTAAATATAAAGGATTTCAATGAAAGTCTTTCCAGCCGGTATGAGACCCATAATTGCTGCTGCGTTTCTGTTTTGGATACCAACGATCAATTTTCGAATATTTGTGTACTTAATAATGATCTGTAATCATAAAAACGAATACCCTTCACATCAGCAGCAGTAACGTGTTAAATTGATTGTACATGAAAAACATTGCTAGCAGATTAGATAAGCATGAGAATTTAAAAAGAACACTTGATGACCCGGATCAAAACATGAACTTACAAATTAAGTGACCCTCGGAGACTATAACTGAATTTCAATCCATCATTTTGGATTATGAAAAAAGAAAAGGTAGGTGTAAGTTACATATTAAGAGATCAGTCAAGTTAAATTTGAGACACCTTTTGTTACAGCCACAGATTTTAACGACAATTGGAGGAAGGGAAGTAAAACACACCATACAGATGCGAAATGCTCCTGGCGAGGCCAACGTGGAAATTTTCGTGTTTGCTTGACTTAGCTTCAATAACCCTTAAAAGTAATTGATAGTTTTACTATTATTTAGCAGTATTTATAGATTTGAGCATATTACGCCACACTATAATAGCCTTGATTATCTCAAAATAGAAAGTAGTTTTACACTTACCTTTGCTACTTTGTTATACAATTTGATTCATACCTTCGTTCCAGATTATCTTTTTAAATTGTTAGTAAAACGAGCTGATATGCATAATGTTGCTCTTCGAAATATCAATACCCAGTACACTACACCTAAACATACTACAACAAAATACAAAAGTTACTTTGAATACACAGCCCCGTGCATGTTAAATAAATATCATGTACTATTTCAACTGTCATCTGTTCATCAATTTAAGGAAAAATTTAGAAATCATTTGTTAAATTCACAGAAATTAGCAAATTAAATGTGTAGCAAAGTACCCTTTTTGTAGTTTCCAATTAAGAATTATTACGTAAAATAATAACACTTACCTATTTATAATAATCAAAAATACCAATCCTTGTCCATTTTTTATTATTTTTATTATTATTTCGATCAATCTATGTCTATTTGTGTTTACATTTTTATAATTTTAATTTAAATTGTAGGTATATAGAATATAATAATTCTTGCTTCATTATTGATTTTTGTTGTTTATATACATATATTTTATTGTTTCTATATTTAATCTAGTTTTGCATGTTTATAAGACCATTAATGTTGTTATATAGATATATTTTATTATTACTATACTTAATTTTTTGCATGTTTATAAATGTTTATAAGATGTTATAGTTGAAAGTATGTCCAGGAAATATGGCAAGTTTTTAGGCAGGATTGAAAACCGGCTTTGCCGAATCTTGTCCTTTTGATTACTTAATAATCAATAAATGTTATTATTATTATTCTTCTTCAGCTTTAGATCGTACGTCATATTACAGAAGTTACTCAAAATACATACAACATCACTGAAAGAAAATTCAAAGTGACTTCCAGCGAATGGTTTCATACTGCAAAATTACACTATGACCACGTCGTCTTCTTTCATTTCGTACTATTTCGTAAAGGTTTCCGAGTTCTTTGTTTTGGTAATTCTCTTTTACGAGTATATCTTTCAGTTTGTCCTCCATGTATTTCCTCTTTTTTGTTCTTAATAACTTTTTCAACTTATTTCTTTCTCTTTGGTATGTTTGTTGCTTCTGTTGTTTCTTTTGTCAGCATCAGTAAGCTGAGTTTTCTTCATTCTTCTATCTCTCTTGGGTATTCGCTATTTTCTTCTATTTTTTTTGCTGCTTTGTTACATTCCTTTGCTGCTTTGTTTAACAGTGTTTAATTTTTCCTCCGGTTTCTTCTAGGTTTCTTTTATTCTAGTTTATCTTTCAACTGTTTGTATCCTTCTTGTTCTTCTTCTGTTATTAGCCTTATTAGTTCGACCTTCTGTTTCCGGTTCTTTTGTTTTTATTTTCCGGGTTTAGTTATGAGATTTTGGCTCCTGCCATAAAATGATCCTGTGTGAACTTGGCCCCCCAACTTTAGAAAGCAAAATTTTTTGTGATTGAAATGGATTGCGCTTCGTTTGCGCACAATTGCATTTTGTTTGCGCGCTGCCGGTTTCAAAATTAGGAAGGAATCAAATTCGGGGGATGCCAACTTCACGACTTCTCTCCAAGTTTACAAATTTCACTTTTTTTCTTGTGATCGTTTGCGCATGTTTGCGCTCCCAATACCTTCGTTCGCGCCCCCGTCGTTTTTGAGTTATTCCAAATACAAAATTCCATACTGGCCCCCCATTTTTCAAATTTGCCATTTTTTTTCCATTTGATCGTTTGCGCACAATTGCATTTTGTTTGCGCGCTGCCGGTTTCAAAATTAGGAAGGAATCAAATTCGGGGGATGCCAACTTCACGACTTCTCTCCAAGTTTACAAATTTCACTTTTTTTCTTGTGATCGTTTGCGCATGTTTGCGCTCCCAATACCTTCGTTCGCGCCCCCGTCGTTTTTGAGTTGTTCTAAATACAAAATTCGATACTGGCCCCCCATTTTTCAAATTTGCCATTTTTTTTTGAAACCGGCAGCGCGCAAACAAAATGCAATTGTGCGCAAACGAAGCGCAGTCCATTTCAATCACGAAAATTATTGCTTTCTAAAGTTGGGGGGCCAAGTTCACACAGTTATAAAATGATCAGAGTCCGCATCTGATCCTCTGTATGTTCTTTAGATCTGTTATCATGTCTTTTCTTCCTTCCTTATTAGTACGTGATCGATGTGATTAGTCGTCTTTCCGTCGGGAGGCTTCCATCTTGTTTGATGTATTTCTCTCTGATCATCTCATATCTAGAAACGTTTCAACTGCCCTATTGAGTTCACCGTTGAAGGCTTAGTATATTTCACTTTTCGCATTGGAAATGCTTATGTTTTGTATGAGTAAAAAGCTACTGGTTTGTCGAGCAGAAAAGAAGACAATTAGTGTCGCATCAAGTGATGATTTCCCCGTACTCGACAGTAATCGGTAGATTCAGGAAAAGTCGCGGATACTGTCGATACGGTACTTACTTAACAGTGCGCAAGGGTCTCGTTAATTGAATCTAAATTTATCGCACATCGCCCGTGATGGTATTACACGCATGTTACGACGCTTATTATTTAGAATGGTTACGTTTGCGACACCAGCGAGCTTGCGAGCAAGTGGAGCAAGTGATACCGTATGAATAAGGGTTATTTGTGTTTTACATATGGCGTTGTAGGGTTATTATTTCCAATGCCTCCAATGGTTGCAAGGATTGCGGAATCTGTGAATTTTTTTAATAAAAACTATGTTTAGCGCGTAATATACTTTAGTAGCATTTGTCACTCTATTAATTATTTTGGCTAAAATAAGATAATGCCGCTTCCATGTATACATATCTACAGAGTTTTATGTTTTGTCCACCAAAATAAAAATAATGTGACAAAATGTGGCGACTTGCACAGCTATAACACCAGAGGAAAACACAAAATTTCAACTTTCAAGCACTCCCACACTTTTTATGAAAAATCCCCGTATTATATGGGATGCAAGTTTATTTAAGGCGTCGACTACTTGGTCATTAGCCTATTGTAAATACTGTATAAATCATAACATGTCGAATATATTTGCAGACCTTAGGTATTTTATTACATTTTTAAGATGTTGTGGCTGTTTGAGTATTTCTCCTACTTCATCTATTAAATGGCCCATCAGGCAATCTTTTCATTTAATAGATGAAGTAGGAGAAACTCACATGTTATTGCTATTTATGTTGTTTGTTATTGTTACTGACGTGTCCTATACATTTTTATATGTCCACAGGAAATAAAGATTATTATTATTATTATTATTATTATTATTATTCCATTTCCCCCTGCTCATTAATTACCGACCCCAGATACCTACAGTTTTCTTCTTGCTTGATTGTCATGTTATTTAATTTCACATCCACCCTTTGATGTTTCTTAGCTACCACCAACACCTACGTCTTTCGATGTTTATCTTCATGCCGTACTTTCGGAAACCTTCACTCCAAATATCCAGGTTGACTTGCATGTCCCTCTCTGTGTTTGCCACAATTACCAAGTCATCAGCATATAGCAGTTCTGACACCAATACTCGCTGTAATTTATATCCCAGGCAGAAACAGTACGTCATTAAGTCGTCGGTGTGACGTAAATTACAAACGAAGACGTAAATTTCCCAAAACTGGACGTATTTATTACGTAAACAAAAACACCAAAATATTACGTAATATACTTACGTTATCTTTCGGTCGCAATAACGTCATGTTTTTATGTGATAAAATAAATTCTAAAACTTCTGATTATTGTATCAAAATTCAAAATTCGTGAAAATAAATTGATTTGATTCAAATCTAATGACACGAAAGAGTAAGTACAAGAAACAATACCTGAAAACGGCAACATCTTACACGCGCATTGAAGCAAGCTGGCATCGTGGCACCTTTTACGCATTCGCGCCATTCCAATGTAATGTTAGGTTAGGGTGTTGATGTGAATCACGTTTTATTGCGGTAATCATAATTAGATTGCAAAGGTAAATGTAAAATATTTGATAAGTATGTTAGTTAATTAATTTACGTACAATATGACCATTTGCCTCGATTATTATTTGCAGGGCGAAATGTTTTCATTAGTGGAATTTGCAGAGGAGTCTGGAGGAGGCTTGGCCATTATTCGGACAGAGTGGTTTACCCCTCGCAAACAAGAAGCGTTTTGGCCACCTACTAAACAGTCAAAAACATTTGAAAAGGTTCTTCTAAATGAAGATCAAGTAATCGACAACAAGTGGAAGCTTTGTTTCGTTCGGCGCACCTTATTTGAGTCAGGTACGTTTTATAAATTTAGATACTGGTAATATGAATAAACTGTGGAAGCATTTTGGCACATTGCATGGTTTTAAGTCATGAGAAGCATAACGATACACTTTTCCATACCATAATACTGTCAAGACGAATTGCGAAGTACAAAATTAGTAATGAATGGGATTAGGCCGATATGTAGCACACGGTTTACGCAACTACCTATAATGTCATTAACATTATAGATAGTTGCGTAAACCGAAGCTGAGCTGTTGTTTATAATTACCCAAGTAACTTTAGAGCAGCTTACATGCTGATCGAAGTTATGAATTTCATATCGATAGTATAGTATACAGAACCCTAATAAATACTTTTATCAAACAGACGATTATGAACGTGTAAAAAGGAAGTTACCGAGGGCCGAATATACTTCTGATCTACAAAGTAGTGAGGCTGAGGTTGGAAGTCAAGGTGATGCAGACCAAGATAAATTTCAAAAAAGGAAACGTGCACCTTCTCGTAGACTACTTTCAAGTAGTAGTGACGAAGAACAAACTTCAAAGTTTCCTCGGCCACCTACTCTTAACTTAAACAAACAAAGTAAGTGTGACCTAAAACTGGATTATTTTACTTAATGCGTATGTTATTGGTATAAAGTAGTAAGACATGTACCATCTCCAAGGCAATTAGAGATCTGCGAACCTGTTCCTGATCTGAGTAGTGAACAATCCATAGCTTCCACGTCACAATCTTCACACAATGACAACAATACAACTCTAGCTTCTTGTTTATGTAGGTAGGTACCTAAATAAAGTATAGTATCTTGTATTTTTTCTTTTTAGCTCTTCAAAAAAAATTAGTCAATGATATTATTTTTATCAAAGAACAAAACAAATTAATAATAGAATTGCTGCGACAGCAAAAATTGACCCAAGAGAAAATCCAATTTGAAAATGCTCTACCGGCAAATTTTCCTGTAAAGTTGCCGGTCAATGCTGAACAAGAAATTCAGCTATTGGAACAGTATTTGACAATACAGGACAATTACGATTTACTGGTAATAATTTTTTAGCATTTACAGTAGCATTATAATTTATTTTATTGTTTCAGCGTTGCCATTTATCTACATTTGGTGGAAAAAATATTAATGACACCACTTCTAATATATTAAAGAGAGTCATAAACGATAGTGTGGCATGTAGTTACAATTATCTGGGCACTAGGTCTAATAAAAAGCCATTTTCTCAACTATCTTTAAAAAAGGTCGTTGTTGGTAAGTTAAATTATTATTTTTTTAACTTTTGTTTACAATTTGTTGCCAAAGATGCAGTAAAAGCAAAGCAACCACAGGCTGTTGAGTGTGACATCGAACAAGTAATAAAGGGGTGGTTGAAGCATGCACCCCAACGTTGCAAGCTTAAAAAAAGTAAGGATACTGTTGAATCTAACACTTAAGCTGTATTTTTTAACCTCATCAAGTACCTATGTAAAAATCGTACCTTAAGATTTACATTTAGTTTAATTTATACTTAATAATGTTAAAACGACGTAAAGGTAGTGTTGGAAAAAGGCAGATGTATAGGCGAATTGCAAACGAATTTAAGGTAGCCCTGCTGACAGATAGTACTTCAGTACAACAAAGTCTTTCAAAAGTACAAAATAAACTGAATTCTTCCGATTGTCAGAGAGATCAGGAACATTTGTCTGTAACAACTGATTTTGATCTCTCAAGTTCACCTATCGAACACAGTTCACTTATGTGCGAACTTCAAGAGAACAGTGATTTAGGGATCAACAGTTCCAATAACATTGACTTTGTTACTACAAACGGTTTATTGGATGATCAAAATACTTTCCAAACTCAAATTATAGAGGATAATATGCAAAGTAATAATGACAATAGAGATTCCTGTTCAATGCATTCTAATGTTGATTCTAATAATATAAATTCAAAGTTAAGACTGTGGGCTACTCAACATCATATAACACACTCTGCAATAAACGATCTTTTAAAAATTTTAGCTCCACACCATAGTGAATTACCACTTTGTAGTAAAACTCTATTAGCTACCCCCTTAAGAACAACTACCACTAGGAATTTTGTAAATGGTGAATACTGTCACTTGGGGTTAGTTGAAGGCTTGAAAAAACAAATTGTGAAACATAATTGCCATAATTTAATACCAACTTCTTTGGCATTAAATTTTAACATTGACGGAATACCTTTATTTAAGAGTAATCGCATGCAATTGTGGCCTATACTATGTAGTATCTTTAAATTTGAAAATGACCCCTTTGCTGTGGGAATATTTGCAGGTAGTTCAAAACCCACTCCTATTGAAGAATACTTGGAAAATTTTGTCAGTGAATTAAAGGACCTGTTAGAGAGGGGATTTACTTTTAACAAAATTCATTACACAGTTACAGTTCGGTCTATAGTTTGTGATGCGCCAGCTAGAGCTTTTTTAAAATGCATCAAGTCCCATAGTGGGTATTCATCTTGTGACAAATGTACGGTTGCAGGTGACTATTATAATGGTAGAGTAATATTAAAAGAGCTTGATTGTCCAAAGCGTACTGATGAATCTTTTTGCAATAAAGTGGATGAGGATCACCATACAGGTGATTCGCCTCTGTTAAAGTTGAATATTGGTATGGTGACCGCATTCCCTACTGATTATATGCATTGTGTGTGCTTAGGGGTTGTAAGAAAGTTGTTGAATACATGGATAAGTGGTGACTTACGTGTTCGATTGAGTAATCGTACTGTTTCTGAATTGTCGCAGCGGTTAGTTTCATTAGCAAAATGTATTCCTGTAGAAATAAAACGTAAACCTAGGTCACTATCAGAGCTTTCTTACTGGAAAGCGACAGAATTTCGTTCATTTGTTTTATACATTGGCCCAATTGTTCTTAAAAATAAAATTGATATTGCAATTTATGATCATTTTTTACTTTTGCATTGTGCTATGCAAATTTTACTATGTGCAGATTATATCAAACAATTTGGACTAAGTTTTCCGCGAACTTTTTTATATCACTTTGTTAAACACTGCAAAAGAATTTACACTCTTCAGTTTTATATTTATAATATCCACTCTCTTTTACATATAACAGATGATGCAGAAAGATTTGGAGATTTAAATTCAATTTCGTCCTTTCCTTATGAAAATTATTTAGGAAAGTTAAAAGCTTTAGTACGATCTGCTAATAAACCTTTACAGCAAATTCAAAGACGACTACATGAAATGTTCACAATTCCAAGTTCCCTGAAAAAGGATATCCAATGTCATATGGAACATCAGTTAGGACCAATTTTAAATATTAATTTTGAAAAACAGTACAAAAAAATTCAAATCAATGATTTCACACTTTCAATTAAATCACATTGTTCAGCAGATTCTTATTTCATAACTAAAAACGGACTTGTAGTTGAAATTTGTAATTTCTTATACAACCCCAACTCAAACATTACAATTCTCGGAAAAGAATATAAATGTTACCAATCATTTTATAGCTACCCTATTGATTCTAAATTACTAAATATATTTGAAATTAGTGATAAATCTGAGTTAATGTCAACATACAGTATTAATGATATTCTTGGCAAATGTACTTTGCTTATTTCAGGGAGTTCTCAAATAGCACTACCTTTGCTTCATACTTTGTAACTTTGTTAATGTAAGAATGTTATTGTTTCTGTTTTATGTAGGTTTCATGCAATGTAACTATAGGTACTCGACATTTGAATAAATTGATATTACCTAGCTACAATTTTTTAATGGTTTGAATTTCCCCTATGTCCCAAATTGGTAATTTGGTTTACGTCTCAATTACGTTAATTATTCAGAAAAATGACGTATTAGTTTAAGTCATAATAACGTAAAAATGTACGTTATACGGACGTAAAAATTTACGTAATCGGGCTGTGACTTATGCACGTTACATTTACGTTTTATTTACGTCATTATTATGGTTATTTTGACGTAATTAGGTACGAAACATCGACGTCTATATTACGTACGGTTCTGCCTGGGATACTCCCACATTTACTTTGTTGGTTTTGTATCTCACATATTTGGCTATTTCATCAATTAGTGTAATAAACAATAATGGGCTTATCACACCTCCTTGTCTGACTCCGCTTTTTGTATAAAATACGTCAGCCATATCCCTCAACCTCTTTTCCAGTATCATCTCGTATACTTTACTGACCACATTCAGTAGCGAAATTCCTCTGTAGTTCGCGCTATCATGCCTGCTACCTTTTTAGCGCATTTTTGCAAATTTATTTGTAAAAAGTAGCTTTTAATCTCACTTTGGCTGGCAGGCTGGCTGGCCGGCTGCAAATGTGGGCGCGTAGAACTCTTGTAGAAAGGCAACGGATGTACGTGTATCTACAAGGCCGTGAAATTTGTCAACCTTAGGGACATGGCTACATGATGTGGGGTTGGCGACATCTGGGCGTCATCCTCGAGCGTAGTATACTAACGTGAAGGTTTTTCAGTTTTTCCCTATCTTCTACTACAGTTTTGGTCCGATTCTTTTCAAATTGGTGTCGTCGGAAAGATGTTGTAAACGCGCACAACTCCTGCGGAATTTTGTTTTTTGTCCTAGGGGCGAAATTAACGACCTTTTGTGAGGCGCGCGCGCGTCTTCGAGAAGTAGTCAACTTCGGGCGTCTTTTACCTTCCGTTGCGAACTCACGCGGTTTAACGTTTCGTAAATCTCGAATCGCTGTCTCTCTTTCTCGTGTCGCCAATAGAAGCGAATTGCGGGTAGGTGAACGGGACGTCGGAAGTGGCTACCGTCAAAGGGAATGTGGTAGCCCCCGACACGATTTTAACTTTAAAAGCGAATTGCGGGTGCACGCGGAAAGTGGGAAACGGTTAGTGAATGTAGTAGCCTTCGACAAGATCTGTTATTGATGGTTGAGCCGAAAGTGGCTAATAGAATCCTGATCTGCCACACAAAAATGCGCTGAAGTCCCTTCGATCTCACACGAGGACTTTGATAATTTTTTATATATCGGTAAAATAGTTGCAAGTGCCTAGTCATGTGGTATTCTCTCTGTTTTAATAATTTTATAAAGAAATTCTAGTCCGGCGGCCTTACCGTTTCTTAATTTACGCACTGCTTTTGTACTTCCTCCTTTCATTCTGCTCCCTTCACTATAGTTGGCCCTTTTTCGTAGTCGTTTTCGTTGGTATCCCCTTTTAGTACTTCCATAAAAGTATTGTTGCCATCTGTCGATTATCTGCTAATCCGACGTCAATAGTTTCCCTTCTCTGTCTTCAATACATAACTTCTTTGTTCCTTTGTCTTGTCTAAGATTTTGTGTAGTTCTGTAGAGCAACTTAGCATTCCCGCTACCATCTCTTTTCCATTTTATTACCAAATTCCTCCCACTGCCCGATTTTGGCAGCTTTAACATTTTCTTTCCCTGATTTTTTTGTTGTCTGTATTTTTCGTAATTATTCCGAGTTATTGGCAAGATATACCCTCCAAAGGATTTTTTCTTAGCTACTTCGATTTTTATGTCCGCATTCCATCATGCCGTTAATTTACCCTTCCTTTCTCTAGTGGCTCCGCAGATTTTTTCCCCCACTTTGCATACTAAATTTTTAAACGTTGCCCACAATACTTCAATATCTTCTTCCTTCTTCCAATTAGTCTTCTGTAGTTCTTCATTCAAAATTTTATTATATGCTCTCTGAGTTGTCACCTCCTGTAGTTTGTGTACCCTGGTTGTATTTCTTTACCTCCTTTTCTAAGCCCGTCCCACTCGCACCCTCTTTCCTCACTTTAATTTCCACCAGAAAATGGTCTGAACCTATCTCATAGCCACGTTTTACCCTTACATCTAAAATTGAACTCATATGTGCGATTTTTACCAGAACTAGGTCTATAATTGATTTTTTATTATACCTGAATCACAATCTCTGTTTTAAACACTCAAATGCGTGCGAAAAAAGGCCTTTAAAACATACGTGCTTTAAAGTTGCTAAGTAACGATACTTCAAGTATGACTTTTGAAACTGTCATCTGGGTGAAATAAAAAATCTTCCTCAGTCGCTTTCTGTAAATGCAAAACATTTCTTTGGCTTGTACCTATCCTTTGGTTGAAGCTTTTACAAACGCGCGTAATTTAGGGTATGCTTCCAAATCTGTTCCACTTTTTAGTCCCAGCAATAAGTGAAGTTTTGAATGAATGCACCGAAAGATAAAAAATTTAAATACCTTTGACATTTCCTTCATATATGCCAGCATTATCGATGCATTTAAGACTTTATTCGTAAGTAACTTCCTATTCATCCCTGGAAACAACTTTTCATATGCTTGATAATAGGCTTTACTGGATTGGGATTTTACACCTACCAACGTTTGTTTAGATTTTACAACAAGCGATTTAATGGACGGTGTATTATCTTTTTCAATGGAAATCGTTTAATTCACAAAGACGATGATTTTTATAAGCAAACGTCAAGTGACATTTCCATGGCAATCATGAAATTACGAACACCCAGCCCACTTAATTAGACATGTATTCGAGTATAACGTCAATATGACTTCATTGTATTACCTATTTTTAAATTATACTGCAGGTATAATAAAAAATACTATAAGATACACGTGTATAATTGGTCTTTAAAGCACTTGCAACGTTAAAGGCCCTCCGCTTTGCGTCGTGCCCTTAAACTCGTTGCGCGTGCTTTAAAGACTTGATTATACACTTGTATCTTAATATACTATTTACCCCTAGACTCCATTACACGGGTAAATTTGTGGATATCTTTATGTTTGTAAAAAGTATTACATACTCGCATATTATTTAATAAGCAGAATTGAATAATACGTTGCCCATTACCATTCAATGCCTTTTCCCCGAAAGCACCAACCGGATACCCTTGTTCGTTACTTATACCTATTCGGGCATTTAAATCCCCAATTATCATACACCTTTGTTTCACTCTGTCCGTTCCATCCTGCAAACAGTCCCAAAAATCATTCTTAATTTCCTTACACTCGTTTTCCGTAGGGCCGTATGCAATAAGAATTGACCACATGTTACATTGACCTGACTTTGTGAAACCAATTCCTATGAATAAGTGCACCCACCCCTACCTGTGCTCGTTCCGTCTCCTTCACTCCTTCAAAAATCAAATAGTCCCCTTTTTTATCTTAATACATCCTTCTCCTTTCTTTTTTGTTTTTGTTAGTCAATAATCTCATCCTCCTTTGTGTTCAGGCTTTGCGTATTCCATAATCCGAATTTCCATGTTTCGTTCCCTGCTATTTTTATTTGTCTTTGATCTTGGTTTAATTGCTGTTCTGCGTCCCTATTAATTGCCGTTTTCGTCTTTCCCCTTTTCGAAGTTTGCCTCTTCGAATAATATTTGTTGGATACCCGTTTCCTTTCTCGTTTCCATTTCGCATTTCCATGGTTGTCGTCTTTACTATCTGCTGAGAAATGCCTGTCAGTTTTTTGATAGGCATCCCGGACTTAATGTCCTCTTTGACGATATCTCTTGCGGTGACCTTTGACTTATAGTTCTTCCCTTCTTAGTCATATCCTCCCCGCCTTCCTGATGCTCATCAAATAGATCTTCCACTCCTCTCCATTTACTTATAATTTATTATATTTTAGGTGATCGTTAATTTGCAAATGCATTTGTTTCAGGAAGTGATCACATCCAGTTGTTATAGAAGCCTAACTCAGAGGTAAGTAATGGACAGGTCAGGACACATGGAAAAAAAGCGTATGGTAGGGAACTGGTGTCAGATTCAATACCAGAAACATAAACGCTCACATTGCCCACAACTATACCTGGTGATGAGAAGACTTACTTTCGAACTTCAAGCCTTTATCACCCCCCCTTCACTATTTTGTTGGGTTCATTCACTCGCCCCCTTTATTAAAAACAATTGGGTTGTACTCACCATAGAAGATAATGGAGTAAAACGTTAGTATAAATTATTTTTATTTTAGAAGACTAGTTAAACATTAATTTGCAGTTAAATCGTAGCTAATCTAATTGAACTATTAATACATTAAACGGTTTACTTTAATATTAAAACTACTTAATTACATATTAACTTCTACAAAAAGCCGTTTTTAATAATCTCTTAAGCCTAAGTCGGCAAGTATCTTAATTTATACTCAGATGGTGAAGGATAAAGAAAATATGGCAGTGGTATTATACCAATGTGTCTTACAGAGACTGTACCTAAATTACAATATCGTCTGAGTAAATTGCCTAAACAAATAGTCAAAGCATTTAATTAGGAAGCAATTAACTGAATAATGAATCAACATAAATTCTAAGCCTACATTTACTAACTCTACCTACTGTGCAGTACGTCCAAAAGAATTACGCGAATTTATTTGTAGGTATCACAGATATTTCTTAAAGGTATTAAAGTACGTTATTAATTGGTTGTTAAGTGGAAAGGTAAGTATCTTTTCAATCTGCACGCGCTAATTATTTACACAAACAATCGCAAAACTGCTGCTACAAGAAAGGTGGGTAAAGCGAAGTTCTTAGCGGCCGAATTATCAGCTACAACGGTGGTAACCTTCTCAACTTCCATCAGCTTCATAACTTCTAAATTCGATGGCGTCTCGTCGATAGTTTTATAAAACCTCTTATCCATCTCGCTGCCGACGATAAATTTCTTATTGTTGTAAATTTTGGTCTGGTTTTTGAACAGCCCCTCGAAATTCTCCGACTCGTCGTCGTAATTAACTTTAATAAACGACGTGATGGTAATTTCAAATATTTTGTTGGGATCGGCAGGTAGAGAAGGTATTTCGCGTCGTTTACGCCCGTATCCTATTTGACCATCGCTGCATTCCACCTACAAGAATTTAAATGTATCCACCGCTTGGGATGATATTAATTGCGCATTTTCGAGGACACACCAGTATTTAATGTGACAATTTTTTTACTGAATCTCAACTAATGAGGTACACAATATGCGCTAACTAGGCAGACTTACCCCTTGGCACTTGTCGAGACAGACGTTCACCGTACATTTAAATTGGACGTAAGTCGACTCCGGAAATTTGAAAGCTTTGAATTTCGCTGTTAGAAAATCTCCGTCGACGGTATTGAAGTTTTCAAATAAGAATGGATCCACCGTACATCTAAAATTTGATTTATTAGTACGCCCGTATCTTTGTGTACGATATGTTAATTGGGTAATTGCTGAATTAGCATGATTAACATGACGTAAATTAGGAATGTATAATTCATACACAACGCTACTGGAAAGGTATCAAATTTAAATGCAGGTATTTGCGACATGTGCTATAAGGTTTTTTTTTGTGATACTTAACGTAAGTGACTAAACCATCGTGTCAACCACTGACAATACCAGAGCAATAAAATTATCGATCAATATACTAGAATTACACTATCAAACCCTAATTGTATACTTGATGCCATTTAGTCACAGGTTCCTTTGCTTCTCCATACGACTCACTCGCGATCAAACGACTGAAATACTCTATGGGCCGTTTGTACCATGATAGTTCAACCTCAGTTAATTTGACTGAGTGAACAAAAAAACTTGATTGGTTCCAATCAGATTTCTTAATTATGCCAATCAACTGAAGCGGAGTTGAACTATCAGGGTACAGTGGCCCATATGACACCTATGGCTCACTGACTTAAAACCTCGGAAAGTATCAATAAGTCGATCTAAAACCAACAACCTACAGCTTATCTAGAATGGAAGAGTTTTATGGTAATGGGTACGCTTCGTTCGTATTTACTCGGAAATCTTGTGCATATTCGTAATTACAACGATTTCGCGTACGTGAAAATCTCGTTTTTCTATTTTGCAGTAAAATAAAAAAGGTGAGTATAACCGTTTTGAGTAAAGTGAGTACAATTCATAATAAATATTGTGCTTTTAGGTTCGTTTTCGACCATGTTTCTTTTAAAGGAAATTCCTTGGCCAATAAGGGAAGAGGGCCGGTATTCGGGCGTATGAGGGGTATAACAGGTATGTAAAAAAAGGGTAGTAGAGAAAACCAAAACGTATAAAACGTATAAGTACTAAACATGTTTCCATAATTTTTAATGGAAATAGGATATCGATCCATTCCATTCGAGACAGTGTATCACCTCACAAAAGCGCGTGAGTAAGGTTAATCCATGATTAAAAATATTGGAATGTCAGAGATCTATATGTAATGTATGTATGTAATTTAATAATTAGATTGTCCAGTGTGCTATATGAACCACGCATCACCATTACTCATACCGTTCATGTGTCACATTAAGTTTGCGATTCCTGTCATAATCCATTGCTTCAATAAACCATGCATTTCTTAACTGTACCTAAAATTTACAGCAATCCTTCAGTCGCACTAAAAAGTCCGTCCTCCCTCTCACTATTAATTTCAACTATTAAGATCATACTTTAGGTCAATTTCTATGTAAACACAATGTGTACGATTCACGGTGTAAAATAGAGGAGAACGAAATAACGGCGCGCGATCGTGATAGACTGAGCCTATATTTCCGTTTTTTCTTGCATTGCATCGGCAATAAACTGGATGTGTTTATACTAAAAATAAGGATTTTGCATTTTTTTCAGATCTGTTATTGGAAATGCTGGATGCATTAAATACAGGGTGATCATTTTGTCTACATCACTTGATATATTTCAAAACAAGATTTTTTAAAGAAGGTTTTTATGGTATCCAAAATTATAAAAGGTTTGCTAGCAATTAACGTACTTTAAACCTGTGGCCAATGGCGTACCTCTGTATGGTGAAGGAAGGCATATTTTTTTTATGGTAATTACTAGTTTTCGTTAGATCAAATTTAAGAGAAACGCTAAAATTAAGGAATATAGTGTGTTAATTAATTTTATATTAATATTCACTAGTTTGCGTTGAAAAAACGATATTCTCTTGTTAGTTATGTCAAAGGAATTTATTGGATGAAAAATCATTAAAAATTTGTATATATATATATATATGCTTCAAAATTATTTTCAGTGGCGTGCGTCAATTGAACTAAGAGGGTCACTTTTTTCATAGAAAGAACAATTTCCCTTAATTTGGGTCTTAAAAAGTGAAATGAAAACTAGTAGTTGCCATTAAAAAAATAAGACCCCCTTGACCATGCAGAAGTACGCCACTGACCACAAATTTAAAGTTCGTAAATTGGCAGAAAATTGTATTGTGCATATCATAAAAAACTTTTCGGCAGAAATTGTAGTTTTGAAGATATATTTAGTGTACCAGACAAAATTTCCATCATTTTCGATAGCATAAAACGCTTCATTAAAAACATGTTGTTTTGAAGATATATTCCGTGTTCCAGACAAAATGTTCACTCTGTATACTAAAACATTGAATTTTTAATATTTTTCAGATTTATTGTTAATTAGCTGTAGATAGTTTCTTGAAGATTTTATATCCGATATTTCATTTTCTTTCAAAATATGTGAAAACTACAAGGTATTCTATGTCAAAATGTTATTTTATTAAATCTAGTTACTCGATAAGTTTTTTTTAGCATCAGCTTCTGCTATTTGCCACATACGTCTCATATATCAAACATCACATTTGTTATATCATATATTGAGGTTAATTGTTTTTATAAATTTAGTTATCGAATCGAAAACTGCTTTTTTACCTTGGGCCAGGACACATGTAATGTTTAAAGGACGTTGGACACTCGATAAGTTCGATAATTGAAATCCTGAGAAGGAATTATTGATATTTGTTAATTTAACAGAGATGTCCAATCAAACATATATGGACTTTAGTTTCAACACACTATACAGTGATATTCAAATGACAAAAATGCGATCCACATAAGACATCGTAAACAACTTTCAATTTTAACGGAGGATATGAAGCTGAGTGTTTTAATTTTTGTGCAAGAGAATCCCATAAGAAACTAATTGGAAATGACGACCGAATTTAATATCTCTTCATCATAAGCATAGCCTAAATGCATACTATTACTGTTGTTTTTATTAAAAAATCTAGATTGACAATACAAAATGCGTGCGTATGTTATTTCGGTTGTATAAAATTAGGTTTCAGAAGGATTTTTGTCATTTAAAAGTAGACATGAAATCCCTATGTCTAATTCTAAATGAATAGCACTGTATATTTACGTGTGCTTATTTCAATGTTTCACTGAAATGAACGTGCTACTGTCCTCTATCGCGGTATTTAGGAACTATAGATTTTTTGTGGTAAGTACACATTTTGTCTAATCAACCTGCGTACATCGGTTAGAAAACGTCAGAACTCATCTGTACTTTTGTAGTAAGTAATTTTTTAGCGTAACACAACGGATGCCCGTTACTCATCATTTACCCACGAGTGGGTTTTGAACGATGATTTTGCCTCCTACTCATCGTTTCATACAATCAATAGTTATGTATTTTTGTTTTTGTTGTTTCATAACTGTCTGTACGTATTTTTAAGTTTTCTACTATTATGAGTGTTTTCTTTTGTTTCTTTGTTTTCAGATTACCTTTCTCTGCTCTATCGCACGTACCGTTTTCTTTCGACTGATTTATTTACAATGTTTACAAGTGCATATACTACTATACGTCTTCAACAACCTAGTTCATTTATCATCAAGATTTACGTGTTAAAGAAACGTGAAGGTTTGAAGCTGTCAGTGTTTGTGTTAAGTGTGCAATATCCTAAACCATTCACGACCAGATTTTAGGAGGAAAAAAATGTAAGTAAGTAATTTTAATATTCTCTTATTTTTAATTGTCGCCGTCTGCGTACGGATCACAAGCTTTGTAAGCTTCTCTTTATTTCAGGAATGTTGTGTTAATTTTCAATTAATGTGTTTCGAAATAAATTTTTGTCTTTGTCAATCAATTAATTGTGTTTATTTACCCATTATGCGACCCGCATAGTCTTTATGTCACATTTTTCTATTCGTTAGAAGAAAATCACATTTTCTTCACCCTTTCAGAGAGGAAAATAGTTAATAATATAGAAAATAATATATTATTTCGAAAGGGTATGCAAGAGTTTAGATATTACGATTGAATTATCACTTTCTAAACGTAACAAAGCCAAAGCTTTGCTAAACATGTACCGAAAAATTGTGAAACGTAAATTACATTGCATTCTTTAAGAGATCGCTTGAAAGATTACTTCATTTATGCAGTCACAAATAAAACAAAATTAGCACCCATTTGTTTTCTGACAAGTAGCTCAGTTTCCCAACTGGTTAGGCCGCCATAAATTGATTCGTTAAAATTTTTAAACACAGCCGGAGGTGAGTACTTATCCAAACAAGCAGTAAAAAATTGGCGCGTTTATTGCAAATTTGCATCTTGGAGGACTATTAACAAAGGATGAAGATAATTATTAAGCTACGATGGTTTGGCCGTATTAATTACTTATGTTAATGTTTTAATTACAACATGTATTAACGGTCTTACTATTATAAAATAATTGTATAGTACAAATCGTTTAACACCATGCAAACTAATTGGGACTGATTAAAGTTTCGGAGCGAGTTTGTGGGCTTTTATAACGCCAGAACAAAACGTTACGTGTAAATTCATTACGTAGTGTGTACCTTATTCTCCAGATAAATCGTTTAGATATGCTTAATTCAACATAAACCCTTTGCTAAAAGCATACCCGTTATAAATAATCGTTTCCTCTTGAGTGTTAGTGTCTGTAACTTGCATGTGGGTTACTAACAGGCCATAAACAGCGGAGGAATTTTTATCCAAGAATATTTCCATTTGTAATGGGGTACCGGGGGAAACATTTAGCTCGCCGGTCACTAATTTACCGCCTTGGCGTACGCCAACCCCAAGTATCGGAACGGGAGCTTTTGTCGTAATGCTACTTGTTATTTTGAGATCTCTGAAAACGGCACGAATTTAGAACAAACTCGCCATAAACCACAATGGATATTTACTCGGGTTCCTGAAATCCGGCGGGCAGCACGTTACGTTTCACGACGGTATGATTGGTGATCGGAAAAATTGAACATTTAACGTGTATAAATTCCTCGATGTGCGGCTGTTGAATTCCTCCAACTTCGCTTGTGGATTCGATAATTATAGTTTTGTAGAAGACCTGCTTGCCCTACGGCAAACACAAAATGGACATTAGTGGGTTAATAGTAATTTGTTTTGCAACAAAAAAATTGCAATATACTTACAGTTATTTGATTTATGGCTCTTGTTATCCCGCACTGATAGAAATCGGTCAGATTGAGTTGAAAAACGGCGGTGGCCTCCACTGGATCGGTCTGAGGTAAGCAGGCGGGATTAGGGTAGCCTTTCAGCCCTTTTAAATAAATTGCTTTGGTGGACGATTTCATAGGCAGCTCTATTCGCATCAAATTGGGTGTACATTTGACCTTTGGCTCGACTGAAATAAAAAAGAAGAGGGAGATTAATTTATTTCCAATTGATTATAACAAACTATGCAAATTAGTGGTTTGCTAAATTGAATTGAAGATTTTATTCGAGCTATTAATTATCGTTTATAACTGACTGCCTTGCAATTACATAGTGTGCTCGGTTAATACATTCCATCCGGCTAGCTCTATGTCATTTTATTTGTCTACAGTTAGAAGCGAAAGTAGTAAATCTTTGATAAAACACTTCTACCACTTTTACAACTTCGACGGAAAGTTGAAATTGATTCCGAAATTAGGGAAGTACGCACACGCACAATCCATAAAACGATAAAATAATAACGTAATTACATTTTCGGTTGTTTGGATTTACTTTATTGCTTGTAATTTTATTATCCTTGATAATTTAATATCCCACTATTTATTTAAGGAGTTTTGACATGACCACAGATTATTTAGCCATTTTTACACCATTAGGATAACGTTCAAAGGCTGTATAATAGCAGAATAATAGGCATGAGAACTGAGGATGAAGTATTTAATTCTGTTAATTAACGCGTAGCTCCATCATTTCGCTAGTGTATATTTTACAATGTGATCTTATAACGCTACACAAATTGCAATCGATTTGATTTCATTTGCTTTAAAATTACTGTATAGTTCTTCTTGATTAGAATTCTTCTTTAGACTACAGCTTTAGAGCAACAGTTTGCTACAATTGAATCGTTAGCCATTTTCAGATTATTGTTTCTGTTTCCGAAATTACACCGTCAATATATTACGCGGAGCGTTGGATTCATAACAAGTACTGCTTAGCAAAATAATCGTGGCCCGAGTTACGTTTCGTCTTAAATTTGATGATGTAAGGCAATTGATAAACAAAGGATAATTGTACTTTTTCTCAAACAAGTTAATTAACAGAAGAGAAATGTTACACTTAGAGGGTACCTATGATTTCCTAAACGAAAAGTGATTAAGAGCGAGAAACTAATTGCTGGTGTAAGAAGACAGTGGTTTACACAAAATTATAATTTGAAACCATGATACATTAATTAATTGATGCAGTTTTGTGTTATAAGTACGAGGGTAGTTTGATAAGTCAGTGACTTTCTGAATTTATCGCACATAAACTTTAACTGCAACACTACTCCCGTCAACTGTATGAATATTTGGACATGAAAAAGCTTTTGGCGCGATTGGTGCGGTGGTGTTTAGCCGCAATCCGAACGAATTTTTGCATAGATCAAGAAGCGTTTAAAATTTGGTAATTCGTTACGAAGATTGTCGCCCTGAGAATATTTATTTCTGGGTAGGAGTTGGAAAAATAAGGTAGAAATTAAGTTTAGAGCCGCCCGTTAAGGAAAATAAGAGGCCGTATGTGGTGTGCCGTTTGCAACCATTCCCGTAGTAATACCTAAATTGTTTTTACAGCTGCCGAAACCTCTTTTACCAGGGAAAAAGAGAGAAAATCAATCTTATTCAGTTTTAGGCCCGTTAATTACTCATTAATAGTTTTAATTTTCTAATGGTGTACGAAAACCAGCACTAAAACCGGAAAGGTTGTGCAGTGTACGAATATTCAACGTGATAGGAGACCCCGCCGTTTGATCCAACATTCCAAGGTTAAAAGGGCCATTACTGGATTGCCTAATTTGGAGAATTCATTCCGACTATTTGGATAAGTATAATTAACCGTAATTAGTTTGCCTGGGTTATAGATAAAAGCGTATGATTAAGTCGAGATTACATCTGTTAGGCGCACCCTTAAAAAACTTGAATTGTGATACCGATCCCGTATTTTTAAGACGTCTGGTTTACCGAAATGTAAGTAAGGCAAAAAATTTGCGTTTCGGATATTTTCCGTTTCTAACCGAAACGTAAAATCTTTTACCTTTGGGTGTTTTATCGAAACGTAAGAGATCTTTTGCATTTGGTGCTTTATTGAAACTAATTGCTACTGCTCCGTTAATTGCAAGGTAAGTTTTTTGCCACTTTCCGTTTCATTAATTATAGGAGGAGAGGTATTGTCTAGCTTCCTGCATTTGCTTTCCCGTAGAAACCGCTACCGCATTCGATTACTTACTGTTCCCGCTTAGGGAAATTGCTGTGCGCTTTAAGTTTGTAGCCTACTACTGCCGCCTTCACCCCTACGGATTTTCACTTATAAACTGTCGCTATATGTCGCATTTCCTTAAATATCATTTTTGCAATTATACCGATTAATTTTTTTGTGTAAAGGAGAACCGTTGGTGCGCGAACTTCCGGCGGAAAAGTTCGTCGTTCCACACCAGAGATCAAGGAACAATCAAGACAATGTGTTTCTTCAGGTGAACATATACTAACAAAAGCCAAGGTGGGCCTGTCGGCCAACAATGTCATGGCCACAGTGTTTTGGGATGCACGCGGTAAAAGGGTAAAACCATCACCGGCTTTTGGATAGATTAAATATTGATTTGAAGCAGAAACGACCTCATCTGGCAAAGAAACAAGTGCTGTTCCATCATGATAATCACCACGGCAAAATTCGAAATTGGGCTACAAGCAGCCGATTTGTACGTATCAATCAACATTTTACTTCTGCTAGTGTAAAGTCATTTTGAGTATTAATTACGGTTTTAGTATACTATTTACCCTTGTTTCAGACGTTAGACATCGCTACCGCAATATTTATGTGCCGCACTATTCACTATCCCTCTCAATTGTTTGTTGTGTTGTTATCTGTTACAGATAAGTTAGAAAAGCGTGCTTTTGACCTCAAAAGACGGTTACAACCAGAGTTCAAAGCTAATTTCTATTTGTGATGACTCCGTTATATACCGTTTAATTATTATATACCATTAACCATTGTTGTTTTATGCGGAAGCCCGTTTTGATTTGGATATTTTCCTGACTACGAGTTGATCTCCTTTCTGCTAAAAATTGAGTTAAATTTAAACATTGACATTTCAGATCTAGATCGTTTATTAAATTAGCATGGTTATCACGGCTAAAATTTACATCAATTCCTTTTGTTTTATACTCTGAATTAATTTTTGTTTTTGTTTCTTTTAAATCCATATAACTAAAATTCACTTTGTATTTGCGATCAATCACTAATTAATCGATGTCAATTTTCTATTCCTACTTGCTATCTTCTTTTCAGAGATTTATTTTAACGTAATTTCTTTTGTGTGAATTCTAATTCACTACTACACATAGTCTATTTCCAAGTTTAACGTGCATTTACAGAAATATAGAATGAACAGACCGCGATTTCATAGAGCTCTAACAAAGTTGCTTGAAGGTTTGGGTAAGTTAATATTACTCCTCATAAAGATGCTTGTTTCATGCCGGTGTCCAAATAGCCTTTCGGGAAGTACTGATCTGTACATGGAAAATGCGCTAGTTACTCGCCGTAGGGCTAAATCTTTTTGCTTGTTTTCTCATTTAACAGATATTTTAACTCTAACGGATTCTGAGATCTCAATTCTGTACACGGTAAATATGCCACCAATCGGTTTCAGAACCTGCAGAAGAGTTTTTTTTGTTACAACATCACTTGTAAGAAACCCTTACAAAGTAGGTAGGTAACGAATGAACATTATAACCTTCTTCCTAAATTAAAATCACTAACGGTGAGTATGCATAATTGATAACTACGTGAAAAAGCGTTCCTGTCATATAATTGACTATGATTATAACTGATTAGCATAATTAAGGTGGTAAGTTTATTGAGGTCAATAATACTACCAACCATAGACACGCATACTATGTTTTCTTCGATTAATATAATAAATAGTTACTTATTGGCTTGACATTCATAAATGCCGCACCATAGTATATGTTAAACGATATTATTGCTTTATTTACGATTATAGTATCGTTTAAAACTGTACATAGAAGTGTTTTCTCACGATGCCCTCATAAGCCTCGCTATAATCATTTTTACACTTTATTTCTGTTAGGAAGTTGTACGGCTATTATGGGACAAAAATGGTGCCGCGTGCCGTTAAAAAAACCTGTACACAGATAGTTGATTCATTATGAGAAAAAAATATATATGTCAATCGTACCTAATAAATATTTTAAACATTACCTACTAGATTCCGCTTTAATTTGCAATTATGTCTCGTTTTCGATTTCCGCAATAATGCAAGCAATAAAAATGGAATTTGCGGCTATTGCATTTAAATGGGAAAAGTTCAGTAGTAAATCTGGATTTTTGGTGACAATTAGCGAAACGTTAATTACGTCTACTACTGCACATTGCATCTAATTACTCACTAACTTGAATGCAACTTTGTTAATTACAACTTATTACTAGACCATTAATACAATCGGTTTCTACGAAAGGTAGAACCGACGGCGACGGCGTCCGTACCGAGGTACTACTTTTACTGCATAAACTCAGGATTGCACGCGGATACTTGCGATACTACAAAATTCTACGCTTAATAATTCAATGAGCTTTCTCGCCATAATCATAAATTTTGCACGAAAGGTTACTTAGAGAGTAGCTTTAGTTGCTGGAGAACTATATGGTCAAAGGGTGTTTCTACTAGTGCTGTAGCATGCCAAACGGTGCTAGCACAAATGTAAGATGCCAAGGTTCGGTTGCTGATCTAAGGTAGGCTTGTTGGGCGTAGGTCACAAAACCTAATTGAGCAGCAAAGAAGATTGACCGGTAGGCGCCACTATATTTAACCTTAGACAATAAAGGAAATAAACTTTAATTGGCTGAACCATTGCACCAATACACATTGTTAAAATCAATTTGAATTATTAAAATTATTCGGAGCCGAACAGAATTGCCGCCGTGAACCCGAAGTTATGACCACACGGTATATGTGGGGACCACCTCTGGTGAACACCCAATATCTAGAAGCGTTTTAAGTTGGGCGCTTCGTTACGAAAAGTGTCGTGCCGTAAGCATTTGTCTTAGTTCTGAGGAGTTGAAAACAGAAGCTAAAGGTAATTGATTTAATTTCTGGAATTCGCCGTTTGTGACCGTTCCCGTAAAGATATTTCAATTGTCTTTGTTGTGTTCGAAAGCTCTTGTCATTTAGAAGAAGAGGGCAAATTCTAGCATTTCAGCTACGTCGAACAATTATTTGCAGGTTTTTGTTTCCTATGGTAAATTAAAACGAGCACTAAAACTGCAAGGTCATGCAGGTTGAAGCCGTTATCAGGTTGATAAGCGACCTTTATGCCGACCCGAGGAATAGGTGTTAATTGGCCTACCGATTTTAGAAACTTAAATCCGGACAATTAAGTAAGTCAAATTAACAGTAGCTAAATAAATGTATTGCAGTGAACCCCATTCCACAAGCGCTCTTAATTGATTAGAATTTTTAGACCAATTACATATTTTTAGGACGTCTGGAGGCCGCACAATTAATTTAAGAAGTTTTAATTTTTGAATATGGATAATCGAATACGCTGTGTCGGTTGAAAAAACCGACGCCACGTGCTCTCCATGGCATAGTCGAATTTTATAAAAGGTAAAGCAGTTGTTTAAAGAGGATATATCTTTGCACTTTTGCAATCAACGTCTTATAAGTATACCGTGATTTTGAGCATTTCCGTAAATTTATTTTACATTAATACCGTTTAATTTTTGCTTTTACATTAAGTTTACCGAACTGCTTTTTCTTGCACAGTAATTTCTACCGCTCCGTTTAATTGCAAGTTGAGCTTTTTGTTACTTTCCGTTTCATTAATTATAAGACGGGGATATTGTTTTCCTGCATTTGTTTTCCCGTAGATACCGCTACCGAATCCGATTACTTACTGTTTCCACTTAGGGAAATTGCAGTGCGCTTTAACTTTGTTTTAGCATTCGCCAGTACCCGGTCGCCGCTTGCCCTTTGGAATTTCTCGAGCCTCCGTTTTAGTTTGCCCGAGGCTTCCGAGACCGATCCGTAATGCGTGATTTGTCTTAATGCCATTCGCTAGCGAAGTAGTCATCTTAAAGGTAAACGAAATGTATGGATGAGTAAAATTTAGGGTTGAAATTAGGATGCTGACGGAGTACTGCTCCAGCATTCGTCTTTTGACGTTTGACTCGTGGGCAGAAAGCTGCACATAAAACCAATTATGAATTGTACCTACTCGCTGAAAGTTCCGTTCAAGTCGAAAAGGCAGTTTAGTGATTCGTTTATTTTCAAGGAGCTGTGATTGAGCGCTAATTAAAGACACTCAATAAATTTCTCTACTTGAACGACATTAACAGCAATTTTGCGCTACCGATCGTATCATAATTCGTTAAATGCGTTAAGTGCAAATTTATTCACGGAATTTCCCATGCATAACAACTTAATGATATCAATCAATAAGAAGTTTGTAGCTGATTGACTATTAATTTGATCTACTTGGCGCTGGATATAAAACAACAAACCGGATTATATTAGGGTTGTTTGGTGGAAATACAATTTCGACCTGCAAAATTCTAACATCAAATACTTTTACTACCAATTTGGTAACATCTCTTACGGCTAGTTTCATTTTTACTGTACGTTGGCCACAATTCGAGGTAGAAAGTGGGTTAGTAAATTACCCAAACGAGAAATTTGCAGACAAACAAAAGAATTTATCAAGAGAACTGCGGTTCGTTCTGACGTTTTGGATGTAATCTAATTTAGTATATTCGTATGTTATCCGTTTATACTTCTTTAATATGTCATTGCAACGCTGATTAATGTACAAGAGTATGAAAGGTGATGTGTATTAGTTAACTGTAGGTAATTACACCTGATCCGATTACGATCACCGGAGATATGAACATATTAATGCGATATCCGAGAGAGATTAATGGTATTTCTCTATTTTCTTTAAGGTCAGGGCACCCACTTTGCTAGATACTATATTAGTGGATGTTAGTGGCTGTGGAAAAATTAAGAATGTTTGGTTTGAACGAAATGAAAATGGAACCCGGAGTTTAGTGCTATTTTTTCTCAATTTTTAAGGATCATAAAATCGCTTTCAATTTCTGTGTTTTTAAGTTAACCAAACCAGAAGGCAAAACCTCTATTTCCATATATAATAATTCATCACTTCTCACCATTCACACTACAATACAATAAAATTTAAGAAGAAGAAATAGAGTTAACTACATATTCCTAAAGGAAAATTACAATATAGCACACGAGATAAATTCTAAACAGACTAGTACTAACCCAAAGCAGAATTTTCCTTTGTTTGCGCGCACGTCATCAATTCTGTTTTAATATAAAAAAATCAGTTTAAACCACAATAAACGTAGGTACGTTAGTTTCATAGCGAATAATTATAGAAGCATAACTTCCGTCGATCTCACTGCGATATTCTGCGCCAAAAGTTGTACAACCCAAAAATGCCATCGGGTTTACCAAGAAAAAGTAAGCAACTTATTTTTAATGTTATTAGTTACAAGTTTCATTTCAGGATGCCGATGCATTAAATATAAGCCTTCTATTTCACAAATTTGTAAATCGGACAAACCTCCAGAAAGTCCTACAAGGTAATGTAAAAAACCCGTTAGCGATGTTGATGGTTTCACACCATCGGCGATTCGGAACTCCATATACGACATGATCCAACAAAATAAGTGAAAACACGTTGAATGGTTAAATGTAGATAGGTGTTTATATCAAGTGTGCAAAGATTTTTTTATATTAAATTAATATTTATGTAGTTACTATAAGTAGTTTACGTTTGTAATTCAGAACATCTCACGCTTCAATTACTTTTGTAAATTATAAAAGAGACTTGTTACATGTGGCATATAAGTCTACTGTGCAAAGTTTCAACCCAATAGGTTGAAGGTTTTTCAGGGACAGAGAAGCGTGACCCCACGGGGTCATTGGATTTGACCAATTTTCAATAGGCTTATTACTTGTGGCATATAGGTCAACTGTGCAAAGTTTGAACCAAATCGGTCCAAACGTTTGACAGTTATCGTGTTCACGGACCGACAGACACCATCGACTCCCTTATAAAGCTTGCATCGCTTTGCTCTGCCGCTTAATAATCCAAGAAAAGGATAATGGAGTTACCCAATATTGCATAACGATGGTCCATTTTTAGATGCGTAAGTAAAAAATATGCAGTCTGTGTCTTTTTAGATGAAACGTGGGTACTTGAAAATGGAACAATATGTAAGTCCGGGCAAGACGACAGTGCAACGTGTAAGAAAAATTTGCTCCCAAATTTAGAAGAACCATCGCTGACTATTATGGACAATGCTGGTTATCACAGTATCTTACTGGAAAACTTGCCAAAATTCTTCCTAGACTACAGCACAACTACAGGCATGGCATCGCGACATAGACAACCTGTTGCAAACAACCCACAACAAATTTTGTAGTAACTAGTCAATAGAAGTCGTTGATGTGATGTAATAGTTATCCTACTCACAATGCAGCACTGCCTACACACGTATTGTCTTCCATTGATTGCATGATACTATGTAAACATACTTAGTGATGACGTCATAATACACTGATGAGGTGCGCAAAAATAAATGAGAATCCTACTGTAAATATGAAAACCCATCTACTCTTAGTTTTTAACAAAACAAACATACAAAAAATAATTTAAGCTGCAGTCGAACTCTATTACCTACATAAACGAAAAGAATCTAATAATAATCGCTGACGACGTCTCTGTTCGCCGGAGCAGCAAATGCAAATCTTCTTTCCACTTCAAATGTCAACGCCGCTACTCAAGGCTGTACACCGGATTATTATTCTTATCCGTATTCGTATCTAGTATATGATAACTTCGCAAGTATCTCTCGCCTAATTTTCACATATTGTATCTCAAATTAAGCTAATGCGAACGCATTTTAAAAACGAATAATCATTTTCCAAATTAGTTACGCAATCAATATGAAATCTATACTATATTCGCTCAGCCTTTGGCATTTCGGGTTTAACAACAAAATACAAAGTCGGTTGAAATCTTAAAATCACTAATTTTGTACTAAATAATAATAAATGAATGATTAGGTTTGAACAATTATAATTTCTCCTGCATCTGATCGCCAATTTTTATAAGCTATTCAAGCCGGAACAAATGTAACGATTAATTTTCTTAATATCAAACATTATTATTGTATATTTTGTTTAATGATCCTCGTAGCTTTTTGGGAAGCAGTTTAAAACACGTTGGCTGCCAACTACGAAATAATACGTAGTTGGTAGTCTGTCCTAGGTACCAACTACGGAATTATACGTATTTTGCAGCGCTGCCTATAGAAGCCGTCTACGTTCTTATTCGTAGCAAATGCGTGTAGTATAAGGTATGGCGGTCTATGGGACAAGAATTAAAAATAAGTACTGGTCGCTGTAAACTGAACTTTATTCTCGAAAACGCAAAAAAAATGAGCCAATTCTGTTATAATATAAATTTACAGATCTTACGTGTGATAAGCTTTAAAACAATTTTCCACGCAAAGAGCAGGTTTTTCTTCACACACTGGACAGAAGTAACGTGTCTCACGACGTTTTTTGTTGGCGGTGCACACTCTGCAAGGTTTTGATGGCCGGTTTTTCTTTTCAGTTGGGGGTAAACTCTCCAAATAATGAAATGATCCAGGATTGGGCTTTTTATTCGGCTTAGGCATATTTTCGCCAAGCAAACTCTCAACAACCTTTTCTCTGAATTGTAGAGAGGTAATTTTTGAAGAAGTTGCGTTCCGATAGATTATGTATGCGTTGTGAATATATATTTCAAATATATGTAAAGCAACTTTCTTGTGCCATCTTATTGTCTTTCTCAGGGCGGAATAATAAGAAAGCATTTGATCTGATCGATCTACACCAGACATCCCATTATTGTAATCGCTAACTATATTCGGCTTCAGAGAAGTTTTTCCATTGCGGTTGCGCACAAGCTCCATGTCGACTTTGTGTTTGTTTGAAATAACAAGAACATCTCTCTTGTCCTTCCATTTACAAACTACCACTGTTCCTTTGCGCTTCCATGTAAGCTCTCCTCTTTTCAACTTTTCAGCGATGACAACTTTTGGATTTCCCTTTCTGTTGCTTCTTAGGGTGCCACAAAGGTATGTTTTCATTTCCGAAAGTAAAGTAGTAAGTCTCACTGAGTTATAAAAGTTATCCATGTGTAAAACGTGTCCTTTATTGAGATAATCTTTCATAAGATGTAACACTACCCCAGTTGAATGACCAACATTTTTGTCTTGAATATCAGATTTGCCACAGTAAATTTTTATCTTTTGAACTAAACCATTAGACTCGCATAATTTGTATAGCTTGACGCCGTATTTGTGTTTTTTATTTTTGATGTATTGCCGAAAGAATAGTCTTCCTCGCCACAACATCATCGACTCATCAATGCAGATGTTTTTGCCTGGTGTATAGTTATTGCGCATAACCTTATTGAAATGAGTCAAAATAGGTCGAACTTTATATAGTCTATCATCAGATGGAATTGAATTGTCGGAACAGTGCAGAAATCTCAATAAAGCTTGAAATCTGTTTCGGCTCATAACTTGTCTCCAAAAGGGAATGTTGTAAAAGACGCTTGTGCTCCAATATGATGAAATTTGTGGAAGAGAACATGGACCCATGTGCAAAAGAAGTCCAAGAAAATTTTTCATTTCTATAATATCGGTGTCCTTCCATGATAACATTCTAGACGACTTGCGCGTACGTGTTTTACCTATTTCTTGGCGGGCATAAATGTTCGTTTGTTCCACTAGTAACTTCAAGAATTCATCACTAAAAAACAAGTCCACAAGAATTTGAATATTACAGTCTGTGAAATCAATTTTTAGTCCCACTTGTTCGGAAAATGGAAAAGTAGGGGGGTCTTCAGCGATGTCTGTCCATTCATCATCTTCTAATAGTTGATCTACGTTGACATCGTACTAGCGAGTAAGATGAAATCGAAACGTCATCACTGGGGTTATTTTCATCGTCCACTATTTCATCGGACACCTCACTGTTGCTTGAATTATCGGATTCTTCACCAGAACCGCCATCTTGAGAAATAAAACCTGCCCATTCCGCCTCATCATAGTTTGCAATTTCTCTCAACTGATCTTCTGTTAGTTTTCTTTTGTTTGACATACTAAATGGTTAACCAATAAACTTTTACGCAAATATACTGAGAAACTATTGTTCAGATCCACTATTCACAAACACGTTTGCTCAACTCCATAAATAACCAACAAACTGCACCGTCCACGTAATTGTAGTATTGCACATACGCGTGCGTGGGTATAGGTAAATAAATCTCAATGAAAAGCGCAAATTGGTTCATACGAGTTATCTCGTAGTTGGTTCTTCAAAAAGAATTTCTATCACGGGTACCAACTACGAAATTATTCGTAGTCTCATTTTTTTGAAAAATGAGTTTTGAAAACATATTTGGACAATATCTTTTCATTATTTATACTTAATTCTACGCAAAAAATGATAAAACTGTATTGGGTTTTTTTGAACAGTTTTATGGAAATACTCTGGCAGCGAACGTGTTAATAGATGGCTCCATCTGTTGTCGAAATTTGAACCACTCAATTTTAGCGCGCATTTTTCCGGACCGTGCTTTTCATTTGCCGACATTCGACTTCTTCTTTCGTTTGTGAGCTGGAACACAGTGCATTTCGACGGAAAAACATCCGAGGCGTTAGTGAAAACGCATGGAATTAGAATTACCGCCATCCATATTTTAGTAATCTTTCGCAATTGAATTCATTTAATAGGGGGATTCCGCAGTATTGGACGGATTCACCTTTAACTCCGATATAGAGAGGATATAATTGTTTTTTACTTCTTGGTAAGTACGCCATCTGCATTTTATGGTCTTGAAGTGTATCTTTTAGGTTTTGGCTGATATTTGACATATTGTAATTTCCATCGACAATTGTTGCATTCATCTATAATTAGCCCTCTTATTAAGAGGTGTGTACATTTTACGTCATCAACGAAGGGGTTACCTTTGATTTTTTACTCTTAATTGTACCAGTTTTAAAGGACGAGTTCAAATTCAATCTCAACTTCCTGATACATTTTACTATACATAAGTAAACTTTTGCTCGGCGTATGAGTTTGGATTAAGGTCACCATTTAGTTGCGAGTCCCAACGCCTTTGACATATCTTCCACCTGCGGATAATGAGCGGCCATTGGCTGGAGTTGGGTCACCAGGTCACGAGCGAGATTTGATATCGGGATCGATCCTCAAAAAATGAAACAACTTCCGTAACTTTTAGCGTTGTAGTATTAACTATTTTCGCCCCTTCTGGGTTATGCTATCACATTCAATTAATTTGTTACCTTTAGTACCTATTTGTTATCTTTGCGGTCTTGGTTAAGTTATTATCGAGTTTAAACCGCTAATATTATTGTAGACCACCACTTCCTTCTGGAGAGGTTGGCCGATTCAGTATCGTTCTTGTGATAGCAGCTTACTGCAAAAATTAATCTATAGAATTTAGAAGTTCTATGTGTGTAAATAAATAATTCTAAATAATTTACAATGTTTTGAATTTTATTTATTGTACAAGCAAGAGTTTTCACTTAGTGCCTTTGAAAGTTTTTTTTAAATTTCGTTCATTCGTCACCGAAAATCCTCAATTTCACTCACCAGATTCAGAAATAAGTAGAAGTGGGGCACTCTCAGCCATCTTGCATTTTGTGACGTCACAAGATCGTGACCTTGAACTGACCCTGGGATTCTCCAAGATTATGACCCTGGATTTTCCCAAATTCCTGGTCTTGAGCTTTGGACTAAGATTATGGGCTTGGATGCTGGCACAAGGTCATGGCCTTCAGTTTTGAACTTTGGCCCAAGGTCCTCGACACTGGCCCTAGTTACGCCGCAAGGTCATGACCTTGAAATTTCATCGGTTGCGTAGTTAGGGACCATCTTTGTTGTTCAAGGCCGGGGCCTTGGTACCGTAAAGCGTTTAATAAGTACATAAGATGCTGTATCACAAACTTAAGCTATTCTTAAAAAATGACAAGTTATGCATTTCAAATTTTACAAAAGGGAAAGCAAAGCAAACAAAAACTATATATAATATTTTTATCATTTTTGTTTAAAAATCCTTATTTTTTGATTTTATACACACATATTATTGACACACGAATGAGATGCACAGTTATCACTATAAACGCGTAACTTTAGGAGGGAGGTAATGGGGCTGATAAAACTGGTAATAATACATGTTAACGAGCGCACAGGAACAGCCGAAATTAGAAACCTATTGACGTAACAATCGAACTGGTACTTATATTGTAACATGGACTCTAGATGATAGAAGACTGGAACACAATAGTGCTTAACAGAAGACGCGGCTTTTAACTATAACGATTGAACACGTGACCATGGTTATTTCTCCAGGGAACGGGAGTAGTTAAGGCTTACAATATGACAAATTTGTCTCTACTGCTCCCTTTAAATCGCGAATCAGAATTAATTAAGAAACCCCCTTCACCAAGACGTTTGGAAAAATGACAAGATTATAGCTATTTCTAAGGTTATTTTGATTATCCGAGGACTAGATGGCTCCATCAATTTTTGGAATTTGAACCACGCAATTTTGGAGCATATTTTGCTACGCCGTGATTTTTGGTTGTCACCAACAACTGAGGCGTTGGTTGGCAACGCATGGAATTTTAATTGCCATCATCCATATTTTATTAATCTCAGGATTAATTAAATTGGGGATTCTAGAATAGTTAGTAAACAGATTCGCCTCGAGATTCGCCTTTAACTCCGTAGGAATATATTATTGCGTTTTTCTTCTGTATCGTAAGTACCGCCATTTGCATTTTCCGTAATTGAAATGTACCTTTTCTTTAGGCTGCCATGTGTTATAGGTACCACAATTTTTTATCGACGATTGTTGCATTCAACTATAATTAGTCCTCTATTTAAGGCTTTTAATTTTAGTCTTAATTGTACCAGTTTTAAAGGACCAGTTCACATTCAATCCTAAGTACCAGCTTAACTTCCGGTTACGTTTTACTGTACATAAGTACATAAGATTCTTGGTCGACGTACGAGTTTTGAGTAAGCTCACCATTTGTCTGCGAGTGCCGACGCCTTTGACATAATATCTTCTACCTGTTGATAACGAGCGGTCATTTGCTGCAAATGGGCCACCAGGTCATAAACGGGATTTTGATAGCAAGAAGCGATCCTCAAGAAAGCGACAACTTCCGTAACATTTAGCGTATTAGTATCAAATATGTTTGCCCCCTATCATATTCAATTAATTTGTTAACTTCAGTACGATCTCGGTTAAGTTATGATCGAGTTTGACACGTAATTATTATTGTAGACAGACTTCTGGAGAGGTTGGCCAATTACATACCGTACATGTTATAGAAGCATATTACTAGTAGAGCGCGGCCCTTCAGCAGAGCTGTACAAAGGAATTGGTACAAAAGGCTTGGAAAACCCTCAAGCTCTAAAAGAGCTTGCAATTCCAAGGCTTCAAGCCTTTTTTAAAAACAGGGCTTTGGAATTTACGTCTAAAGCCTTTTCGCGTGAGCTTGGGGCTTTGGATTTCAGACAAAGAGCTTAAATTTCGTTTAAAAGAATTGAAATCACTTTTTCATTGAAAACTCCATTTTAAGGATGCAATTCCCTTTAAAGAGCTTCAATTCCTTTTTAATAGGCTTGAAATCCTCTTTAAAAAGGCTTCAATAGGGTCTTCCTGAAAAAAAATATTGTAACTTTTTTGTGTCTTACTGTAAAGTTTATAACCTGTAATTAAACATCTCGTATACAAAACTTTTTTTTTCACTACTAGCGTCTGATGACATGATTATTAACCTTTTTTCCACTTGTAAAGTAGGCTTTCTCGGCATTTGTTCAAAGTGGTTAATAATTTTTTATTATTAACTAGTAGTCAATAATGAGAACTGTCACACTGAAAACTCAACCCGAAATTTCGCTCAATGAACGTTTAGACAAGTTCTCTAAAACGAATAATTGCCACCATTCGCAATTTCCAGAGAAATTACATACCATTATTACATTTTGAAAAAATTCGAACGAAATTACTCTTTGAAAAATCTCAATGACAGAACAAAATACGGCCTGTTTGACTTGTACTTCCACGTACATTGACAGTTAAATTAATAAACACAAAATTCTGTCCAACCGTTCACTTTCTTATCAATATAATATGTTAATTTAGAGGATTTAAAGTGCTAGTAGTGAAAAAAATAGTATATATACCACGGTAGAGAAGTCTATTATTGCCTTCGCACCTTACACCCCTCGGCGCAAGCGCCTCGAGATGTAATCTTGCTGCTCAGGCAATAATAGTGGACTTCTCTACCTTGATATATAATGTACTATTTCCTAATTGCAGCATGTCAATAAACAACATATAATATCGTAAAACTTTCAAATTTTGTCATGCAACGGACGACATGCCGATATTGGCCGAGCGTCGCATACGTCACTACGCGGGTTGCCGATCGGGAGTTATATTAGTGCACGACACTGATAGGAGTTCGATTCGACTTATTATGGCAATCTGCCATAAACCGAGTTCTGACTGGTTCGTAAAGGGGCAGTTAGATAGTCTGCCAAAGGTTGAAGTGTTAATGGTCGCCGCCTTTTTCTCGAAAAGTGAGTTTTTCCATGCCACTCGGTTGAGTGGAGTCAAAGCCCACAAGCAAATCTGTTATGGTTCATAGGAAGTATAACATCAAGTTATGTGTGTATAGTGCAAGGTATAGTGTAGGTACCTAATACAGTATGCACCTTACGGATTTCAACGAGAAAATTAGGGTGTTGGATATGTGGAAGTGAAAATAGAGAAAAATGTGTGCGCTGCAAGGGCACAGATATGCCCAGAACAGAATTCGAAGTAAATCATATTCTGAATTACAATTACAATATTATATATCTATGGATTTTCGTCGATAACTGACTGAAAGTAAATCGACATTATGCACTTTAATTAATTAGAATCGTCTTCACAACAATACAAATGGGATGTCAAATTCGCGGTATCACGTCGAACTTTTTTCGTATATTTCCTGTTGGGACATTTATATACAATTTATTAGGTTCGTGATGACTTCTGCTATCACGCTCAGGTA